GGAAATTAATATGTATCTTTATTTTTGTATTTTATATATTATGGCACATTCTGGTAGCAACTGTCAATGTTCAGCCATAGAGTCCACAATTTATAATTAGTGAAAAAGAAAACAGAAAATTGTTCTCCTGAAATCTTGATGGAAAAAAAAGAGAATCTCTTGACCTAATTTTTTCAATTACATTGAATATAATCATAAATTCATTGTTATTGCAACTGTCTGATCATTTAGTATGCATTCCTGTAGAATGGACATAACTATTTTACTTTTTACAGATTCAGAAACAAATCAGGCATTGAGATCTTGGAGAACAGTGTAAGTATCAATAGGTAATTTGTATACACTTCTTTCTTTTCATGTCTTAAAAATTTTGTTATTTGAATTGAGAATATTTATTCAAAAAAGTACATAAAATGTAAGCATGTGGGCTGGGGTTGTAGCTCAGTGGTAGAGTGCTCACCTCACATGTGGAAGGCACTGGGTTAGATCCTCAGCACCACATAAAAATAAAATACAGGCATTTTGTCCACTAAAAAAATAAATAAGCGTGCAGTTTAAGGAATAATTTTGAAGTAACTACATATATAACCAATACTTTCATTTAACAGAACATTGAAAGCAGCCCAGAAACTACCTCTGTACTCCTCAGTCACATCCATCGTCCTCACACACCCTTTGCTAATTACCACTATTCTACCTTTTGTGATAACTTTATCCCCTTGTTCTTATAGTGGAATCTATGTTAGTAAGCCTAAACACAACAGTAACCTCTATTGGCTTTTGAACTTATGCCTGTTTTGAACCTCACCACCTTTTCCTGAAAAGTGTATTTTTCTCTTTTTTACTGCACTGCTACCAAGTGGCACTAGGATATATCCATTTGTGTATGTCTCTTTCTGAATTTTTTGTTCCTTTTCTTTCTCTGTGCAAGTATACTGTCTTCATCACTAATCGGATATATTTTTTATATTTGGCAAAACAAGTACTCCCAATTTATTGTTATGTAATAGTGTCTTGGTTATTCTTAGACCTTTGCATTTTCATTTCTTAAATTTGTAACTGTAAACATGCAAACCTGTCACTCTTGGAGTTTGCAGTGATTTTGCCAAAATTTGTAATCCCTTATTTACTTGAACATGAAAAACAATTATTTTATAGTCTATATCTAATAATCCCAGAATTTAAAACCTTCCTGTGGATCTATTTTTATTTTTATTTTATTTTCTGTCTTATTGTCTTGCATCCTGTGTCTCGTTATGTTCAGTTACTTGCCAATATTGTATATGAAAACTTATAGAAATAATTTGATGCCCAGGATGATATTTTCTGTTTTTACCAGATACTTGAGCACAGATTACTTAGGACCATTTTGATCCAGTTCCAGAGACTGAGATTTTTCTGGGCCTGCTGTGTGATTCAAACATGAACTACTAGACTATACTTGCACTGTGACTTCCTTCCTGTTCACCCTTACTCTTAAGTTTCCGCCATTCTACATTCTGTAGGATCAGTTGAGGTTACCAGAGCCTCTGCCTGTTAACTGACCTATGATCTACCTTTGAATCCCTAAACTAGAACCAAGGCTCCACGCAGCTAGCTTCTCAGTGACTTCTTGCAAATGTATATGTAAGTCATCTCAGGACACAATAGTTCCAAATAAAAGGTTTACAATTCTGAATATCTATGTTCTCCCATGTATTACCCTGGGAACTTGTTTACTAACATCAACTCCAATGTTTTCCCATGTTTTTAAGAAATATACTTTATCCAAATTTTCTAAAGCATTCTAATTAGAATGTTAATGCAAATTATCTAGCCCACATAATTTCATAACTTGATTATGTGTAAATTACAGTTGATTTCTTTGTATTGCTTTTCCATTTGAAAACGTTCTAAACTCTTTAGTAATTCTTGTAAATTATTTGCAGTACTTTTTTTTTTTTCTCTATATCATCTTAACTTCAAAAAGGACAGTTTAGTCAGGTGCAATGGTGCTTGCCTGTAATCAGTGACTTTGGAAGCTGAGACAGAAGGATTGAAGTTTCAAAGTGAGGCCAGTTCAAGGCAACTTGGCAAGACAAAATGTTTCTAAAAAAAAAAAAAAAAAATTTAAGAAAGGCCTGAGGACTTAATAAAGTGCCTCTGGGTACAATCCTCGATACCCCACACACACAAAGCATAGTGACAGTTTAGTCTTCTACTCTCCAAATTCGGTTTTCTTGCTCCACTTTTTATATTTGAGTCTCATTGATTAATTTCTGCTTTATCAATAGTACTTTTTTTTCATTTTATTAAGAGTTTTGTACTGTTCTTGTTTGTAACCTTTTGAAATGGATGTTACCTCATTCATTTTCAAATTGTCTTTTCCAATGTATGCATTTAAAAATTATCTCTACACTTTTGTAATATGAGTACATTATACTCTACTATTCTAACCATAGCCCAGAAGGTTTGACACATATTATTGTTCATATTTAACTAAAATACTTTTGAGCTTTCATTAGCATTTTCTCTTTATCCCTTGGGTTTTTTAGGAGAATATTTAATTTCCAAATGTATAGGTTTACTAATAATCTTTGTATTTTGATTTGTAGCTTAATTAAATTTTGTTCAGGAGAAAAAAGTGACTTTTCTAATTTTTTTTGGAATTGTCTATATATCTTCCTTTTAAAATCTTATTTATTTTTATTCCAATTTGTTATATACAACAGTAGAATAATGCTTTATAATTCATATTACACATATAGAGCACAATTTTTCATATCTCTGGTTGTATACAAAGTATATTCACACCATTTGTGTCTTCATACATGTTCTTAGGGTAATGATGTCCACTTTTTTCCACTATCATTTCTATCCCATCCCCCTCGCTTCCCCTCCCACACCTTTGCCCTATCTAGAGTTCATCTAATCCTCCCATGCGCCCCCTCCCAACCCCACTAAGAATCAGCCTCCTTATATCAGAGAAAACATTTGGCATTTGGTTTTTTGGGATTGGCTAACTTATCTTAGCATTATATTCTCCAATTCCACCCATTTACCTGCAAAGGCCATGATTTCATTCTCTTTTATTGCTGAGTAATACTCCATTGTGTATATATACCAGTTTTTTTATCCATTCATCTACTGAAGGGCATCTAGGTTGGTTCTACAGTTTAGCTATTGTGCATTTTGCTGCTATTAACACTGATATGGCTGTGTCCCTGTAGTATGCTGTTTTTAAGTCCTTTGGGTATACACCAAGGAGTGGGACAGCTGGGTCAAATGGTGGTTTCATTCCCAGTTTTCCAAGAGATCTCCATACTGCTTTCCAGAATGGCTGCACCAACTTGCAGTCCACCAGCAATGTATGAATGTGCCTTTTTCCCCACATCCTCGCCAACACTTGACCTGTCTGATTTTTAATACTTTAAATTTACTTAAGATCCCTCTGTAGCCCAAAATATATCATTTTTTGTAGTAATTGTTATGCATTTAAAAAAATACATTCTGTAGTCATTAGGGGTACTTTGTTGCATATGTCAATTGTTAATTATATTATTTAAATCTTACTGGTTTTTAATAAACCTATTATGTCAATTATTAAAATAGGTAAATTAAAAATCACCCAATGATTTTTCCTAGTATTTTTTTCTATTTATACATACTAAAGCTGAAGTACATGTTAATTTTCTAACTTGTGTATTTTCCTGGTGAATTATATCCTCTCACTGTGAATTGTATCTTGGTAATATATTTTTGCTTTAAAGTTGTGATTAATGTTTTCATGGGATAAATTTTCCATTCATTTATTTTTAGTTTTTCTGTATTTTTATTTTTTAGATATTTGTCAGATGCATAGCATAAAGTTTGAATTTTGATGGGTTTTGTCAATCCAATCTGATAATATTTGTCTTGTCACTGGAACACCTAGACTATTTACATTTAATGTAATTACCAACACATTTAGATTTGTTTCTGCCATTTAAAAGAAAGCCTTACTCAATTTTGTATATATTCGTTCACATATAATTTGTCTTAATATCACAGTAGATGTTAAAGGTTTTCAAACCTTGTTGTGTACAGCATACTAAAAACATTATCAAACCAACCCACAGAAATTATCATTCAGTGAGTCTAAGTTATGCTTAGAACTCTATATTCAGATATTCCAGGTAAGTTACTGAATTAGTTTGCTAGAGCTGCCATAACAAATATACTTTGTAGTTTAAACACCAAAAATGTTCTCACACTTCTGAAGACTAAAAGTCTAGATTAAGATATCAGATCATTTTTTTTTTTCCTGAGGCCACTCTCCTTGACTTGTAGGTGACCACTTCTCCCTCTGACTCTTGTAGTCTTTGCTTTGTATGTTTGCATCCTAATCATTTTTTATAAAGACACATCTTTATAAGATGTTGGAGCTAACAGAACCTTAAGAATCTATTCTAACCCATTCATCTTTTCAGCTGAGGAAATCAATGAAGCCTATATAATTATCCCAGGACTATAATCCAGGTCATATCTTTTAATTCTTAGTTGATTCTATAAATGATTCCCAAAACTCCATCAAACTTGAGAATTTTGTTTTCAAAGAAAAAAATATGAAATAATATCACTGAGATTTTGATTCAATAGATATAGTGTGGAGCAGAGGTGTCCATATTTTTAAGAAATTTTGATTATAATCAGCTGATACTGCATCATATTTGGTTTATTTATTTGCTTTTATTTTTTGTTTTTTTCTTGGTACTGGGATTGAACCCAGGGCATTCTCCCACTACCCCTAGTCCTTTTTGTTTTTCATTTTGAGACAAGGTCTCACTCAGTTACCCAGGCTGGTCTTGAAGTCACGACCTCCTGCCTTAGCCTTCTGACTCACTAGATTACAAGCATGTACCACCATTCCCAGTCACTGCATTGTATTTGTAAAACAAGATGATGTATAGCCTTAAAACCATTCTTATAAAGATTTATGGGTAAGTTTTGAACTAGCAAAAAGACGAAATCAGGGAAAAATACAGAAGTGAATCAATTTCATTTATTTCCAGCAACAAAATATGTGGCATAGAATATTTCCATTGGAAAAGGGCTTCTGATTCACTTTATGTGTCTAGCTTCCAGCTAGTTAATTTAAATGCCTTATATTTGATAAATTGGTCAAACAGATTTTTTTTTTAAATAGCCTTTTGAGGTTGTTTTGGAATTAGGATTTAGAACTAGAAAATTTGTTCTGAAGATTATATAGTTAAGTATCTAATTGAAGCCCAGAAATATAAACCTCCATTTAGAAAGAATTATATGTTTTTGGCTTATATTAGTGCATTGAAACACATGTATCTACAAATGAACCCACAACCACAGCCTATGGTTTTTCCCTGGGTTTCATTCTGATAAAATAGTGAAGTTGTGTGCTACTTTAACTCTGATGTCCAAGTGAGTGACTTGGAAATTAACAATTAGGATAAAAGAGGTAATTTTCTTTAAAAATGAGATCTTTTGAAAACAAATTATCGAATTACATGAAAGCAGTTTCACATTTTATTTCATTCAGTGTGTGGATTTTTCTTCAGCTTCTCGCTTATCCCTTCCATGTTGTGTTCTTGACCTAGAAATTACAAGTAGAAAAACTTGATTAATCAACGAACCAATATGGAATAACAAAGTGCTTTATATTTTCAATGGGAGTTTTTGGCTTGTACCCGAAACACTGGTGGTGTGTTTCATTGGTGGTTGTAAGGTAATAAGATGCTGAATACTAAGGTTTTTGTTTTGTTTTTATCCTAGATCTGTAACTAGGTTGCCAATAAGTATTTGCCTAGGAAAAATTATTTTCCTTTTCTTTAATGTCCTAATCTGCCCTACTATATTTTGAAGTGGCTTTGAAAATGCTAATTTTTGAAGTTGAGAAAAATAAATCAGGAAAAGTATCTGTGACCATTGTTCTCGCCTTCTGGTGTCAGACAGTTGAATGCTGACATGAGTTAACAAAGATCAAAGAAAATTCCATTTTATTTTATTTAGTATTTTATTGTCAACAGTAACTTTTTCCAAATCTCTAGATTGGAAAACTTATATGTTCTCTAATTCCCATTTCTCAGCTCAGGGAAAATAAAGTTAAGTGCTTTAGAAGTCCCAATGAAGCTTAGTTCATATTCCTGAAATAATGTTAGAGGTCCACAAAATTTTCTTAATGCTTCAGCGCTATTTGACAGTTTTAATTTTTGTAGCTTTTCTAGAAAGTTCTGTATTCCCATGTTTTCCATCCTGTTTTTGAAAATAAATGTTGTTCTACAGAAGATACTCTGATTATTTGAACTTTTTCTTCACATGCCTAATTTCATTTTACATCATTCCATATTCCAAACAAATCTGAAATGCAGCAAGAATGAGTAGTTTGTTCCTGAATACTAAGCAAATAGAACCAGGTCAGTCAGTCAGGTAGCAGAAGCAGTCTGGTTGTCTGTTTCTGAAGTCGTTGACATTTTACATCAAAAGCCTGTTTGTTCAATTATTTCTTTCTATTGTCTGTTTTCTCTTTCCTGGTCCTGCTCTCAGGTGGCCCCTACTCAAATGTGCTGTACTGTTGTATGAGCACCTAAAACCTCAAGAGAATATTCTTGGAAATAAGGAAGAGTTAGCTCAGGGAAGCAAGGAAAGAGTTGGAAATATTTTTATTTTCTCTCTCTAGAGAGATTGGGCAGCCCCAGTCTCACAGAAATGCATGACATCACAGTGGCTCCAACTCTTCAAGAATTCCCATCTTGATGAACTGTGATGATGCATGCCTAAAATCAAACTATTGGGGAGACTGAACCAGGAAGATTGCAAGTTCAAGGTCAGCTTGGGCAACTTAGCAAGATCCTGTCTCAAAAATATAAAGGGTTGAGTCTATTCCTCAGTGATAGAGTGCTTACCCCTGTCTGCAACGAAAAAAAAAAAAGCCCTTTCTTTCTAGCTAGAAAACCAGGGAAAAATGATCCTTGGTGTAGCTGGAAACATGAGAGTTGGAAAAGAGTATCCCCTGGTTTTATATGTGATATTACACAAGTTCCAGGTTCATTTCAGTTGTGCATGCACAAAACAACAAAGGCTTTGAGAATTAAGATATAAACCATTGCCCAAGTCCAATGCTAATAATCCCTGAGGTATTCAAACCCAAAGTAACATAATAAAGACTTTGAAAACTTAACTGATTTGGAAGCACTTCCCACAGAAAGTGAAATAGAACTAGTTCAATTTAATTGCCTCCTTAAATAAATAAATGCTCTAGAAAATTTCAACAGACCAAAAAAGCCATGAAAATAATATCCAAAATGCTCAAGACACAATCCAAAATTATTTAGTATTCAAAAGGTCAGAGAAATGTTGCCAATTCTCATAATTTTCCAATTTTCAAGGGAAAAGGCAACAGAAGCCAGTACTAATACATCCAAGATGTTGGAATTACTAGTTATGCTTCATGAAGTAGTCATAAACACTCTTAAGTCGCAAACTTTTAAACTTTTGCAATGAAAAAATGCCTGAAATAAAAAATTCACTGAGCAAAGCACTTTGGTACACACCTGTAACCCTAGAGGCAGGAGGATCACATTGTCTAGGCAAGCCTGGGCAACTTAGCCATATTCTGTCTCAAAATTTTTACAAAATGTTTGGTGAGGTAGCTCAGTGATACAGCTCTTGAATCTGAGAAGCCCCTGGCTTCAATCCCCAGCATTAAAATTTTTTTCACTAAAATGTTTCTCAGACATGAAAATTTTGAATTATCAAATCAAATCCAAAAATACATTATAACCAAATGAGTTTATGTAAGATTTGGACAAAAACAGAAAATCAATATAACTCACCATAGTAACACCTAAAAGGAAAAACCATACGATCATCTCAATAGATGCAGAAAGATCATTTGACAAAATTTAACATTCACAGAACAGAGAAGATAGCAAATTAGAGGAAGAGTGTACTTCCCAGCAGCTCCTTAGCACCAGATTAAAAAGTGGGAAGGGCTGGGATTGTGGCTCAGCGGTAGAGCGCTCACCTAGCACAGGTGGGACCCAGGTTCGATCCTCGGCACCATATAAAAATAAAGGCATTGTGTTGTGTCCATCTACACCTAAAAAACAAATATTAAAAGAAAATGGGAAGACTGCTCCTCAGGTAGGTAACTGTGGTAACTACTGAAATTCAACACTGGACAGCAAAAGAAACCATAGGCACAGAAAATCATAAGCTCTGAATATAATATAAAAAAATAATAGAGATAAAGTAGCTATGGCCTGCTGGGGAGAAGAGAACAGTACAGGGGAAAAAAAAAAATTGGCTTGTGGAGTAGAGATGGAGGCTAATCTTAATGGACCCAGAGTCAATGGGAAAAGCTGTTGAGCAAAAAGCAACCAAAATCACTCAGCCCATAGGCCAGACAGTTTGAAGGGAAATGGGATCACTGGTGCAGGAATGATTTTTAAGCACTGCACAGCCACAAGCCCAGAGGCAGGAGATAGGGAACTTATAAAGGAAGTTGCCGTCTGACCCAGCAGTCACCTATTGTGGGCCCCAGAGTACAACTGAAATAAGTATAAAGAAAGTTGTGCCCAGGGTATCTAGGCTCCAGATAGCAAGAAGGGAGAGCTCCCTTTGTTGCTAGCACCCCATAAGAGCTATTGAGGAGATAACCTATAGCAGCCATACAGGAGCAACTTCACTCCAGGGCTGCTACTGGGTAATTCACATCCATAGCAGTGAATGTGAAACCTGTGGAGGTTTAGATTTCACACCCAAAAGGTGGAATTTACAGGAAGCAAGACCCAAACATCCAACAGAAATGGGCATCTCCTAAGCAACAGGGAGTGTAGATCAAATCTCAAATCCACTGACAGAGTTCCAAGGGTCAACCAAGACCAAAACCTAGTAACTGGAACTTCCAAATTTAGAACTCTGCACCACCTCTACTACAAGAATGCACAATTTGTCTGCATTTAACAATCTATCCCACCACATACTGGGAGACAGGAAGCTGAGAGCTACTACAAGCAGCGCCGGCCCCTAGCCACAATGGCAGACAACTAAGTGAGGACCACAAAGACCTTGGACTTAACAAACCCCAGCTCTTTACTCAAGGGTTACAGAGCCCAAAAATAAAAAGAATGAAAATCCCTCCTTGCCAATAATTTTGATCTCCTATGTGAAAAAAAAGCCCTTTATCTCTCATTAAGAATTTTTTCTTCATGTCCTTTTTTCCATATTTCCCCTCCCTAATATTTTACATTTAATTTTTAAATTTTTTCAAATGTTTCATTATCATTTTTTTACTTTTTTTCTATACTGCAAGATGGTGTGTATATCGGTTTGTGAATGTGGGTGTTCTCACTGTGCAAATAGGTTTAAATATATATATATGTGTGTGTGTGTGCATATATATTTATATAAATATACATATAGTCTTACTTTCATTTCATTGCTTTCTTCTTCATTTATTATTTAGCCTTGGTTTGACTTAGCTGAGGTATAATTATACATAGGTTTGAATTGTTTTTTGATCTTATATTTGTTTGTCCTTTGGTTTTTGTCCCTCTTATTGCTCCTTCACTCTCTTCCCCAACTAATAGTCAATTTTTCCTGTTCCCTCTTCCTCTCATTCATTTTTTATTACTTTTAGTTATTCTCCTCCTTTACAGCTGTCATCTGCTACCTATCTTCTGCCTTGTTATTTAAATATTTCAATATTTCAATATTCTCTTGCCTTGTTACCCTATTTTTTCTTAAGAAACTGAACTCCCACTGAGAATTATATAGTTTATCTAATTCCTACACTACTCTTGTTGCTCTGATTATTAATACAGTGGATGACACAATAGATACCTACTATTTAATGCCTGATCTAGTCTACATTTTTTTTGTTGTTGGTGCTGATGTTAAATGCTGACCCTACTATTCCTTTACAGGTGGCAATTAGTGTTACAGATATCAAAGTAGACAGGCCATTTATCTTAAGTCTGTACATATGTTGCTAACATTGGTACTATTTTTGGCTCCCCCATTCCTCTAAAGGGGTTTGGAAAGTGATAAGGGCACTTCAAGTTTACAGAGTGAAAATCAGGCTGAGAATATTTATAACAGCCAAGTAACAGCAAATCTCACCCCACATATGATCTAGCCACACCTGAGCCTTAACAGTATATCAACATATAGAATTAGGGAGGAAAAAAAACAAACCAACAACCAGGCCCCCCAAGGAAAAACAAGAGGGAAACCTCAAATTCTACTCCTAGAAATCTACTCATACATGAGACATAAGTCCCAGGGGAAAAAAAAAAAAAAAAGGATAACTACACACAAAATGACATATATAAAAGAGGAAGGGGAATACATCTCAACTGATGCAGAAATCCAAGATCTGTGAAAACATAAAGAAAGAGGCAAACAAATCGCTTCCCAAATTCACAGTCCCTGGCAAAGGACCCCAGGGACATGAAAATGGATGAAATTCCAGAGAAAGACTATTAAAAAACTGATTGTTAAAATGTTCAATGAACTAAAAGAATATATAAGGAATGAATTAAGAGATTAAAAACAGAAAATGAAAGACCATTTCAATAAGAAATGGAAATAGTGAAAAGAAACCAATCAGAACACCCAGAAATTGAAGACACAATGAATCAAATTAAAAATTTATGTAAAATCATCATGAATTAGGTTGCATAGAAAATAAAACTTCAGACCTTGGGGACAGGGTATATAATCTCAAACACTCAGTACGTAATAAAGGAAAAAATAAATAAAAGACCATGAACAGAATAGACAAAAACTCTGAAACAGCATCAAGAGAACAAACCTGAGAATTTCTAGGATAAAAGAGAGCATAAATATATATGCTAAAGGCATTGAAAGCATCTTCAATGAGATAGTAACAGAAATTTTCCCCTATATTAGAAATGAGATAGACATTCACATACAGAAGACAAACTGGACACCAAATTGAGATCAGTGGCAGAAAAGGTCAGGATCAGAACAGAAACTCATGATCAAAATGCCTAACATAGAAAATAAGAAAAAAATATTAAAAGCTGCAAGAGAAAAATGTAAGGTCACTTAGAGGCAAACCGACAAGACTCACTTTAGCCTTTTCAACCAAGATCCTAAAATCAAAGAGGGCCTGGAATGAAATATTCCATTATCTAAAAGAAAACAGTTGCCTGCCAAGATTTCTGTGTCCAGCAAAGCTCTCTTTCAAAATTGATGAAAAAAATAAAAACTTTCCATGACAAGGATAAACTAAAAAAATTTATGACCAACAGGCCATCACTACAAAGAATACTCAAAAGATACACTGCACACAGAAGAACCCAGAAACAAACTCCAAAGCTCCCAAATAGGAATGAGTAGATGTTGAGGAATTACAGATAAAGATTATATTTAGGACCAGCTACAAAATTTGTGAACCCCTTGTGCATAAATTAAGAATTTCAAAACAATGATAGAAGACCATTAAACCCAGCATGGGACCCTGTGCAATAGCACAGTTCACATACCCATGACATTAGAGAGGATAGAAAATCCAATATAACTTTCCTGCTGCGTGGATTATATTGTATCAGTTATCTAATGCTGTATAACAAGCTGCCCCAAAAACGTAATGGTTATTTTCAACAAGCATTTTATTTTATCATGATCTATGGGTCAGAAATTCGGATTTGATTCAGTTGGGCAGTTCTACTTTCACTTGATGTCACTTATATGATTTGAAGTAACCAGTGGCTTGAGTGGGGCTGGATTGTCCCAGTGAGCTTTGGTCACACATCTGGTACTCTCAGCTAGGAGTGGCTTGACCTCTCTTCATCTCATCTCTAATCTTTAAAGATGATAATCCAGGCTATAATGATGGAGGCAGAGAACTAGACTGCCTAGATCATCCAAATAATCAAGTGACTCCAGGTAATTATCAAGGAAGAACACAGTAAATGGTAATGTCACTCTCACATGAGACCTCAGAGCAGCAAGGGAAAATGGTAGCTTCATGTTCTTGGACTAGCATTTATTTACTTATTTTAGGATTTTTTAAATTAAATTACAGACATAAAAATCAGTTAAGTTAGGCCTTTTGGTATAATACTTGGAATCACCATGCTGCTATTTACACAAAAATTCTCCTGGGATTTTTATTGGATTTGGTTAAATTTTCACACCAATTTTGGGAGAACAAAAAAGGATATCAGCTTCCTAATAAATTTTTAAAATGGTTATTAGTACAAGTAACTAATTCCTAACAGTCCCTGAGGATTTCCTAGTCTTCAAAATGCTTATCACAACAACATTCTATATTCTTGTAATAAATTCACTTTGGCCTAAATTAGGCATAGTTAGTTTCCTCTACTTGAAACAAATCATATCAGAGATTTTTGGTTTTCTTGTGATTTCCTTTTTTTTTTTAATTTTTAATATTTATTTTTTAGTTTTCAGCAAACACAACATCTTTGTTTGTATATGGTGCTGAGGATCGAACCCGGGCCGCACGCATGCCAGGCATGCCAGGCGAGCACGCTACCACTTGAGCCACATCCCCAGCCTTGTGATTTCCTTACTTCAGCAACAAAGTGAAGAACATACCAAGCTTGTCCTCATTTGAATATATAAATGGTCTTAAATTTCCTCGAGTCTCCTTCACAAAATAATCAATAACACTGAAAAGGTTTGGGAGTGTTACCTGTATAAAGAGAAAGTGAAAGAAGGCTCAGAGTCACCCAGGTAAAGAGTAAGATATGTTCAACTGTAATTTAATGAGGATTCTTGTGTATTTCCTGAAAATCATGTCAGTAATTTACTTCTGTAGCTTACTGACTAACCGTAGTTTTCCTTACCCCTGTGTCTTATTTCTCCTTTCTGATAAGCATGTTGCAGTTCTCTGTTGAGGAATTACCCCTTACCTATTGAGTACAATCTGGTGGACAATAATTAGCTACCTTGCTATCCTTCAATTAAGACATAAGAATTACTGAAGTTAGGCCAGAAATTTGAACTTGAGTAGAGGAACAAAAAAGAATAGCAGCTTTCTAATAAAATGGTTATTAGTACAAGTAACTAATTCCTAGTCAGTCCCTGAGGATTTCCTAGCCTTCAGAATGTTTATCAAAACAACATTCTATATTCTTATAATAAATTCACTTTGGTCTAAATTAGGCATAGTTAGTTTTCTCTTCTTGAAACTAAAGAACACTTAAAGCCAGAGAATTTAAGCATTTTAATATCTCATTGTGTCAGGATAATTTACTGATCTAGGAGTAACTGAAATATAGCTTTACCCCCAACAAAAATTTTGTTGGTCACACAACTGGTGAAGTCTGCTTACATGTGAATATCCCAGGTAACCTTGAAGAGGAAAAAAATTCATCAAAATGCAATTTGGTTGAGTGACAGACAGGGTTGGGGAGAGTGAAAGAGGAAAGCAGCTGTGGAGACTAATGACAGAAACGAGTACCAGTCCACCAGTTACAAAGATGTACCAGTTACATTATTCTTCCTTGACCATAACTTGTAATCACTTGATTATTTGGATGATCCTGTAGCAACGAGTTCTCTGCCTCCTTAGTTAGAACTTTGTTTTAAAGCTTAGGAGGCATGGATCTGAGACATGAGAGGCACTGGGAGGCATTTATGGTGAAGATATAAGCAAGTCAAGTTACAGGAGTCAGCAGCTGCCTTGTTCTATAAGGGTTATGGGTAAAGTATAAAAAATTCGATCACACTATCCTTTTTCTGTTTGATCAACACAGTGGGCCTGGAGAAACAAAGAAATTCTTTAAGATTTACCAATTCCATTTAAGTGCTATTCAGAGACATTTTTCCGGGATCATCTTTCCTTTCTTACAGCCTAAAACTTAGCTGTATTCCTTTTTATTAGCATACTAGAACATAGGATACACCACCACATTTTCATCAGTTGAGACGAGTGTAAATAAATTTTCTCACCTGAATGAGAGGTATAATAATATCTACCTCAGACAAATGAAAAAGATTAAATTGTATATGTAAATTAGCTCTATGCCCAACATTGTATCAGGTAGTTAAGATTTGATATCTTTAGACACATGATAAGTCAGCTAGGATGGGAGAAAGGTTAAAGACAAGGAAGAAACCCTTTCTTCACTGGTATGTTGCTATTAAGAGGGAATTTCTGAACTTTTGCATTGCAAGTTTTAGAAGACTAGTCATTTGCAGATTTCTTCCCATAGCACATTTTAATGCTTATATGTAAAATAGATGCTTAATAAAAATATTTTCTCTCCCTGAAACAATTATATTGATAAGAACTTCACAAGAAAACAGTGGAATTTTTAGAAGCAGATTATCTTCTACTTTACTTCTACCACCTGTCCTTGCATCTCATTCTCACCCTAAATATCTTCCACCTGCAAGCCTCCTTAACTTGCCTATTTTTTGCCACTATATCCCAAAGGGGGAAAAAATCTGCTTTTCCATTCTTTATATTCTATAAAGATAAGTTTGGGAGGAATCAGGGAAAAGTTCATCAATAGCAAAGAAATATCTACTTACAGGTTTTTCCAGTTCAATAGTGTAGTTTTTCCCTATGCTCATCACTTTGTAGTGCTTGATTCTTGGCATGCTAAAATGAAACAAATGGTTAATCTCCATTTGATTATATGACTGAGCCTATGCAAACTCAAGTGAATATAAAATATGACCTATCTACTAAACCTATGTGCCCATGACTATAGTGGAGTGGGGTGGGGGTTGGGAAACCATCCCATCCCTGCTGGGTTGTTTATTTTTTAAGCTGATTTACTGCATCTCTTTTGGGAGGCAACACATGGTAGATACAGGAAATCTAGCTCACTGAGTAAGTGAATGAGAAAGAATAAAAGGGAAAAAGAATTCAAGAACTAAAAATCATTCAGGTAGAAAAAAAATTTTTAAATGTCAGTAAGCCACAAAGTAGACATTATAAAATTTTATGTAGGTATATACAGATCTCTTTGTTAAAGAAGTAAAAAAAAAAATTATTGAAAGCAAATTGCTTTCTCCTCTGCCTCATCATTAATCTAACCAGAGAGCCCTCCATATCCCTTATTCATCGTAACTCAAATACCACCTGGATATCTACTAACTCCAGAGCAGTCTTAGAGAAAGGAAATGTATAGCAGATGAATCGAAACCTTGTCTTTTCTATTGTCAAATAACCCTCTAAATTATATGTCCCCCTAAATTCATGGTATTTTATTCATTATGAACTGCTGAAGAACAAAATATACATTTTATTCATCTTTGTATTACAGAATTAGGACATAATAAATATTTATGAAACTGAATTTTAAAAAGTTTAGAAGCACATATTCTGCTGCTATCTAGAACCAAACAAATTTATACAGTAAACGGAAGTCAGTGTCCATGTCAGTTATTTTTGAATAATAGTATGTTTGTCTTGAATTCCTTTGATTCATATGGCAATAGTGTTTAGAACCAAAACTTTTTCTAATGTTCAAAAGTCAACAGCATTTATGATGATGTTATTTGTTTAAATGACAAACTAATTCAACATTTGTCCTATGTTCAGAAGCTGTCTAAAGCAAAATAGTTCATCAGATTAATCTGGTCTACATGGCCTTTTCACCTTTTTTAAAAAAAAATTAGTTCTTTAGGGGCTGGGATTGTGGCTCAGGGGTAGAGCACTCGCTTAGCATGTACAAGGATCGAACTCAGCACCACATAAAAAAATAAATTAAATAAAATAAAGATATTGTGTCCAACTACAACTAAGACAAAAAAAATTTTAAAAATTACTTCTTTGTCCATTTCTATTTCATACTTCTCTACGACTGAAGTATAAAGAAGCCTTCTAATCAGGGGACTTTCCTAATATACCATTAAATCCAACTGTCCTCTCAACTAAATACCATATTGAAAAATAATAATTATAATAAATTAATTCCAATGTATTACTTTCATAACATGGGATAAAATCTAACCAAACTTTCTCCTTCCTTAATGCTGATACTTCAGGTATCAGTTACAGACTAGTGAAAGAAACATTTTTGGACAGAGAATCTTACATGCACCCTTTTAGGGTGATTGACTCTGACTTTATGTTTACCCCGACCATGAAAAGATCTTCATAATCTGTTACTTTTGAAAATTCTCTTCAATTTCAGTTAGAATTCTTGAGTTCTATAAAATAAGCAATTTCCATTTTTTGGAAGATTGATAGAAAACTTGTTTCAAAATTCTGGTTCTATCATGTGCACTCTGTAAGCCCTCATTTTTCATCTATAAAATGGAGATGGTATGGCTAGGGTTGTGGCTCAGCGGTAGAGCACTCACCTAGCACTGCAAGGCCCGCACCACATAAAAAAATAAATAAATAAAGGTATTGTGTTCAACTACAACTAAAAAATAAATCTTAAAAAAAATGGAGATGGTAATGATTTACCTACTGTACATATTGTGGGTTAATGCTTGCAACGCTCTTTTTGTACAGTGTCTGATACATTTAAACACTCAGTATATTGCAACTACTTTTTACAACACTTTATTGTTTTAACTTGGCAGTTTCTGTGAGTGTTCATCCCTTCATTTGTAAAACATGGAAAAAACTGTCTTGCCTCAATGTTTTTCTTAAATCTGTTTTTTGTTCCCATGGTACTGGGAATCAAACCTAGGGTCTTGCATGCTAGGCAAGCACTCTACCACTGAACATTATCCCCATCCCTGTCTCAATATTTTTATTGTGCCTGAAGGAAGTTTTTGCCATCACTCAACACAGGATCCATGAATGGTGTTATGTAAGGAGAAGATGATGATTGTTGTTAATAATAGCCATAATCTTATCACCATTCAGGGGAAAGCTGTGAGAGAAAAAGCGACAGAAATAAAACTAGATTCTGAAGCAAAAATAAGGTGGAAAATTTTATTGAAGTCGTTCAGGCTTTCGCTCATTTTAAATTTTGTTTTCTTTCATATACTGTTTTTGTTTTGTTTTGTTTTGTTTTAGTTTTCTACAGCCATATATGGCAATAGTGTTTAGAACCAAAACTTGAGAAAAAGTCAAGATCATTAAAATTTGCTGTTTAAGATTTTCCTGATTATAACCTAAAAAATGAAGCAACTAGTCTTTTTTAAAAAGAAATGTGTGGCCTTAAATGTGGTTATAAGTACTTATTCCTAGTTTCTGATCTCAATTTTAGCCAAAAAGAAAAAATAAACTTTGGCTAAATGTTTTTTACTGCTTAATTAGCCAATGGCCTTTCAAAGTGTTTATAATACAAGCATGGTACCTAGCTGTAACAATTCCAAGAACATGAAGTTGTTGCAAGAATAGCTTTATGTCTGATCAATTCATTTGCCACTTGGCTGGGTAGAGATGGATGGTCTTCTCCACCAAAAGAGGAGTCACCTGGTATTTTGGCTTTGAATGACTTCTGTTTATTTATGATAACAGTCTTCCCTCCCACAGCTGATCTGTTAACAGATGGAAAACATTTTACTTTCAAGTATTGCTTTGTAAACCAACTTGTTCTTTTCAGCTCATGTTTTACCAGACACACTCTTCTAACTTGCATGACTGAACATTTCTCCTATAACCTTCCTGTAAGAAAATGAATTGGTTTGTGGGAAGCACAGGTGCTCCATAATAATCTAGATTTCTGCCAAATTCTTTAAGCTAAAATTCACATATTCTCTATAATTGCTATCTTTAAAAATTAAGTAACCTGTTAAATAGAAGATATTAAATTCAGACATTTTAAAAGGTCTGTTTGATACATTAGAGAACAAAAGTAATGATCCTAAACATAATATATCTATTTGGCTCACAAAGGGAATTTATGTGACAAGAGTTAAAATTTTCTAAGCCACTTCTATGTCTAAAATATCCTCCAAATCCTAAATAAGCACATACTGAAATAAATAATGCTTTAGTAAGACCATTCTACCTCAATGCTGGGTTTCTAAATGTAAACTGAGTGTGGGAGTTAGTTTTATCCAATCTTGTATAAATTTTTATGACCATCAGCTCATTTCAAACTAGGTCTGAGTATACTAAAATTAGAATTATGTAACTTTGATATGAACTTCTTTGCCAAACTATTTCTTATGATTTTGAAATATAGCTTAAATACAATTCAAATGTAAGTAAAACTGTGATGTTAAGTTCATGTCCTAAGCATACAAACACTGTTTGATCATAACTGGAAACAGTGTTGTTTCTCATAGCTAATTGCAAAGGTTGGATGTAGACTATCTTAAAATATTCTATTGTGCAGAAAATATATATATTTTTAAGTGGATCAAAAACAATTAGACCAAGAAAGAATACATGAAGAAAAAAAATTACTGTCTTTTATTGACCTAATTTTGCTTTTAAGCATTTAGATTATGTTTCTTTAAGAAAAGAAAATCATAAATAAATTTTAATTCAGTTTTATATTCTCTTATTTTTTATGGAAGGTCAGTTAAAGACATTCTATACTTTGGGAAATTACTCAATTTCCTAAACCCTGAAATATGTCAAACTCCTGGACCAGGAGACACGAAACAGAAAAATCTACTTTTTTCCTCAGGGGTTCTGGGCTCACTGACATTTAACAGCAATCTTAACTTTTTATTTATTTTTTTTTATTTGTTTCAAGATAGTCAATTAAGTTATAAATCAAATATGTTGAACTAAAACATCTGTGATATTCTACTATATTCATTGGAGTTGAAAATCCAATGTTAATGTTTAGCTTATGATAACTTGTTATTATAGCATATGTTATCAGCTAACAAATATTGACTTACAGTAAACAAAAAACATAAAGAGGTCACAAAAAGGTTGACAGGTATTCCTTGTGAAAAAATACATGTATTGGGGGCTGGGGATGTGGCTCAAGCGGTAGAGCACACGCCTGGCATGCGTGCGGCCCGGGTTTGATCCTCAGCATCACGTACAAACAAAAAATGTTGTGTCCGCCAATAACTAAAAAGTAAACATTAAAAAATTCTCTCTCTGTCTGTCTCTTTAAAAAAAATAGAATCATGTTGTCAACAAAAAAGAAAAAATACATGTACAGATGTGCGCATGCACACACACACAGAATGAGGATCTGATGTAGCATCTAACATTCTTGCCATCTATTCAGTGCATATGACAAGTATATAAAGAAAAGTATCTATTTATATGGAGTAACAGGCAAGTGAATGAAGCTTCACTGGATTTTTTTTTTCTCACTTCTATTTCCTTGGTGCTCAGAGAATTACTTTTCATATTGTAGTTACTCAATAAATATTTGTTAATTTGAAAGAATGAATACAACTATATTTTGTTGAGTTGAAAAAATATATTTTATGATATTCCCTCCCTATTCTTATGTTTATATTTTGGCCCCAGCAAAACATGTAGCAGGTACTGATCTGAATTTATATGACTTTGCTTTCTAAAGTGGTATCATGCTTTTAACAATTTCTCACATTTAAAAAAATTAAACATACTCTATCTCCTGTCGGATAGTGATGGAGTAGTTTCTACTATCACTACCAGGCCTCAGGATCATATTTCCCAAGGAAGGATTCTTCTCCAGCATCTCAGTGGCTTCTTTCCGGGAAACTGTATAAAAGCATCTACAGAGGTAAGATAGAAAACAGACTTTGTTTTTCACTGATGAATACAATTACTTAAAAATAATACTACCAAAATACCTTTGAGAGCTTTAGTTATTAGATTTTCTTAAAACTTCTAGTTATATATTATGTAACAATTACATAATTATTACTATATATTATTACAAGTGTGTGCCACTCTGAGTAAACTAATGCCAAGGGCCTCCTTCCTTCATTCTTCCAAAGCCCCTTGTTTTTAGGATAGCTGATCAGCATATACTGACCATTACCATTTGACAATCTAAAACAACAGTTAACAATATATTCTCAGTTTCAGTTGACAAACAAGATCTGGGATAATATCTTACGGTGGTTTCCTTTCAGGGTCAAAATACTTCTCTAAATGTTTTTCTTACTTGATCTCTGCTTTAAATAACTGATAGTAAGGTTATTTCTGAACTCAATCCTTTTGGTATAATATATCTTTATATGACACTGGTGGTATTTTTATGCATAAAATAAAAAATAAAGCATTTCCCATTTTATAATGTGTATTGTAATCAGTGAAATATATAGTCAAATTCATTGAAAAAAAAATCAGGCTGGATATGCAATATACCAAAAATAGTAATGGCAAATATCTCTGGATAGCAGGACAGGGAATGATCTTAAATTTCTCTTTATTTATCTGTAATAAACATATTAGTTGTTTAGTTGAGCAAAAAAGAAAAAGCAGTCTGTGACTTTTAACCTGCTAGTCCATCATTGTTTCTTGGTAAAAGTAATGGTTGGTGGGTTTCAGTGATTGTAGTATATATAGACAATGTATTAGAATCTAATGTCAAAGATGGTACCAGGACAGGTTTCACTGACAAGAACACCAAGATTCTAGAAGGAAAGGGCTCACGACCTTTTCAAGTAAATATAAGAGAAATGGAGGATGATGTTCAATTCAGCATGTTCTGTGCCCTTTCGTTTTCCCGACAACAGCACACATACTTTGGAAACGGCTTTCCTTACTACAAGCTTAATGACTACTTACTGATTTGTCAGCTGAACACATTCCAAGTATTTAAAATTATTTAGTATAATTTATGATAGAAGACAAGTCAATTATAGAGTGCCACAGTCTGGCTAGGCACAAAATAACCAAGCCGCCATGAGGCACTTGTAGGTTCAAACAGGAACTCCTTTATTGCCCGAACTCCCACAAACGCCACCCACTCGGCCCTTCCAGGAACACCCCCAACCGGAAATCCCTCCTCCGGAACTTCACCAACGCGAACTCCCCAGGAATTCCCGAGAGAACTCCAAAGTAGCGGGGCGCCCAGGCGAACAGCAGGGGTCTATATACAACTGAATATGCAGCATGACTTAACCATTATCATCTCAATGGCTCCCTGGCGTCACCTCTCAACCACTCCCTTCTGGCAAAAATGCCATGTGTCATCCCGACTTGGCTGTGGCCCTCAACAATAGAGTTGTATGGTGAAAATATCTTTTCCTTCCTCCTTCATAGGAACTTTTATTTAGGTCTGAGCTCCTCCGGAAAGGTTATCTGTTTGGTCTAAAGGTGTGGGTAGAAGGGGATTTCCTATGTGGTAAGAAGATTGGTTCAACTCTGCATTGTGTTGAACATAACATAGAAGAGGAAATGTGGCAAGTACTCAAAAATACACAGCTTATCCTCAAAGAGTTTTTATTGTCCCAAATTTAATAAGGTCAAGTGGGTAGCTCTACTTAATAATTAGATTTTAATTAGTCTTAAGTGAATGAATAAACTGGAATTCATTGTGTACTTACACTGGCATAGGATTCAGTACATCCACATAATCTTCAATTGGTTCCTTCTCTTTTTCCAGAGATGTATTTGGTACCTGCTGTGTCTCAATCCTCCTTTTCTTTTCTCTCTCTAGGACTTCATGCAGTCTAATAACTTGCCCAGGTAAAAGTGACACATGTTGTGGAACTGACAGCTGAAACCAGTTAAATAATAGGCAGATTAGAAAGACAGTTAAATTACATATTTATTTAGTAGAGATTATCCTATTATGATGCTAAGGGCTATAGTTACCTGACAGAGAAGAATGGGCAGAATCATGGAGAAAAGAACTTGATCTAGAGTGAATGTCTTAGAACTGTCCCTAAACCAACTAGAACCTGTGCAGGGTGACACCTGTCTTCCAATAAATCAACCTTATGACCTGGTCCCAAAGCAAGCTACATCTACCTTGTACTAAAAGTTAATTTAAGTAACAACCTCTCAATTTCATTCTAAGATCACTAGTACATTGATGCAGGAAAGTTCAAGAGTACAAATTAGAAAGTGAGAGCACAAATTAGAATACATTCCATTTTATTATGCAACATAGGATTGAGGTGGAGCTACCCAGTAGATGACAGAAGATCAGCAATCAGAGGTCTCTATTTTGGTGTGTTTCAAACATTCATTCGTATATTAACTTTTTTTTTTTAAAACATATTTATTTATTTAGTTATTGACAGACACAACATCTTTGTTGGTATGTGGTGCTGAGGATCGAACCCGGGCCACACGCATGCCAAACGAGCGTGCTACCGCTTGAGCCACATCTCCAGCCCCATTCATATATTAACTTAAGGTACTTTTGAAAGACCTAAGCAATCTCATTCTGCTTGGGACCTCATTTTGCTCTTAAACTTAACCTCTGACCTACTATAGTCCTAAAGTCAGGAAAATACTACAGAGAAGCTCTGTGGAAACAGTTCTCCGAAAAGCCGCAGATGGTGATCACCTAAGATAGGCCAAAATAACCACATATCTGAAATTCCAGATGGCCCCCACCTAGGTGTAGTGACCAGTATCTAAACTAGAAGCCCTGCAGTTTGGCACGTAGCCCCCTTGCGACATCCTCACGATTTAAACCAATCAATTTTAAGGGCGTCAACCCCTTGAACTAACCAATAATTCTTTCCAGATTGTTTCCCGCCACTTGATACACTAATCATGTTTTAGAGTTGTTATTTGATTTTCCCGCGGTGTGATGATTTGCTAAGAGACGCTATGATGTATGTGGAGGTCCCTGCCTTCTCCAAAGAATGTATAAAACTGCTGCAAACCCTGAGCTCGGGGCCTCTTAGCATCACCTGTTGCTGTGTGTGCGCAGAGGACTGAGCTAGCTGGCAATAAACACCTCTTTGCTGCTTACATCGATCTTGGTCTCTGGTGGTCTTTAGGGGGTCCCGAATTCGAGCATAACACTTTTACTATTCTATCGGTTTTGATGTTTTCTAGAGATATATTTTGGACTGATTCACCCATATATGTCCTCCTGAAGTCTATCTGTACCTCCAGTTTACTACCACATTATGACCAGCTGTGTTCTCTTGGGGGTATAGTCTGAATGGCAGAATATTTCTCTATATGTGACACTTGCTAGTCTATATGTAGAGGCAGTCATAATTGATTATAATCTTTATAACCAGAGGGGAATGCATACTTTTCCAGTGGTATGCAAGATAGTCCATGTGAATATGAAAAGAAAACAAACAGAGCTGCACTTTGTATACTGTTTTTTTTTTTTTTTTGCTTCATTTATTATCTATTGTATACATCTGTAAATATGAAATTTAAATAAAATTTACCAGTAGAGGCACATAATCAAAAACATTTAGAGATCATTCCCCTAGGTAACTAAGCTACTTAATAGCCAGCAAAGCTATTTCTTTATATACCAAACTAGAAAAAATAAAATTAGGGTTAAAAAAAAACTAATAAAATAGTTATTCCTTAAATTTTAAATGTTATTTTAATTTTTTTTCCTTTCAGCTACTTTTTACTACTATTCTCAAGCATCATGCACACAACAATGTTATAAGACATGATTGTCCCCTCTTTACAAGTGAAAAAACAAAAACAACAATGACAAAAATTCTTCAAAAGATTAAATAACTAGTCCAGGGTCACATAGCTAGGAAGCCGTGGAACCTGCACTCCAACTTGTGTTTGTTTATTTGACTCAAAAGCCATGTCTAACCTCTTCAGCTGGTATGTGTTTCTCACACTTCTCTACTATAATTCTAACAACATATGTGTATGACTGTCTACACATGGTGATCATGGTGATCTGGGACCATAGCACAAAACATTTATAGAGCACAAAAATCAAGAGAACTTGTCTTCTCTAAAATTTACATAAATTTTATTTTATGTGCATGTTTTAATAGAAAAATAATGTTGTTTATATCCTTACCTCAAAGAGTAAGTATAATTAGTGTATTGGAAGATGTACCAAGGTTTTTCTAGCATTCTCCCCGAGGCCTCCTCTCATATTCTTAGAATACTTGCACCCCAGCATAAGAAGCACAGAGGCATATGATGACACCTTTCCATTTTGTTAGGAAGAACTTGATCCAGGCAATGCCCTTTTGAAATGTATCCTCCATCTTAGAACAAGAGTCAAGCTTATTCTGATTCAGCCTGATTTAAACCCCAGACAACACTCTATTGTCATGCAAAGAAAGTAAATTGTTATCTGGGACTTGAATTCTGAAAACACCCAGTTCTACCTGGAACAGTGACTTCCTCAAAGAATAGAGGGGAAGACCACAAGGACCCTTTCCTGACAGCCCCTTAGCACAGGCCTAACCGCAATACTTCACTCATACCCCAAGTATATCTCAGTCTTCACTGAGTCCCCCTCTCTAAGTTTGTCCTGAATAAACCTGTGTTACTGTTGAGCCTCCTCTCTCTTTATTTTCTTCATTCAGTTCTTTCCTTATATCCATGACAGAGGGAGAAAGTACAATTCCCCCAAGAGTTCCTTCCCCATGCTGACAAGTCAAAATGTCCTTCTCATCTTAAACTGGTTTACTTTTCTAACCTTTCATGATTTCCTTACATGGCAGATGAACCTCCAAGCTCTACCTGTCACTGGCTAAGATAAAGAACCAGTATCCAACATCTGCGTAAAGTGCAGTGCTTATTTCACGTGACTCCAAAGGTTTTACTTAGAAACTAGCTTTGGATAGAATCTGTGTTTAACTGACCCTAATAAATGTGGATTTTTTTCATTACCTTTAAAAGTATTAGAGAACATAGTGTTTTTGAGGGGCCTGGTTATCAAAGTATCTCCTGTTTTGAGTTCAATTGCTATATGGCTTTATTCAAATTAATGGTAGTTATCTTGTTACAACTGCTAACTCTAAATAGTTGATCTTACTATTTTCCTCTGACAAGATGCCATCCAATTAAACAGATAAACATCCCATCCGTTTAAGATTCACTGAACAGGGCTGGGGATGTGGCTCAAGTGGTGGCGCGCTCGCCTGGCACGCGTGCGGCCCGGGTTCGATCCTCAGCACCACATACAAACAAAGATGTTGTGTCTGCCAATAACTAAACAATAAATATTAAAAAAAAAAAAATCTCTTTCTCACTCTCTCTTAAAAAAATTTTTAAAAAAAACAAGTTACTTCAGGAAGTGTTCTTAAAAAAAAAAAAAGATTCACTGAACAAATGTTTAAAGGTGAGTTTTAATTTTTATGTCTCTCTTTTATGTTGTCTGTTATCCATAAAGTTCATCTCAGTAAATATTTTGTAAATGAATAAGAAAGGAATTGGAAATTATTTTAGAGAGTACTATATAAGCTACAAATGTTAGAATATACAAAGAACCTCTGTGTCAAAAAGATAAGATAGAAAAAGTAGATTCTCTAACCACCTGTTAGTCACTAGCATATTGACTGGTTTATTTTCTTTGCAACAATTATCACAATGTGAAATGATCCTGTTTGTTTACTTGTTTATTTTCTTTCTCCTGAAAAACCAGCCTCTACCTTAGAGCAAAGCCTGTCCAAGGAAGGGACATGACCTTAGTCCCTGGAAAAACCCACAGAGCACTCCTAAGCACATTCCCACCCTGCTAAGTTGTTTATCTACAAATAACAGGAGAGATCTGCTGTGCCAGGTGTCCCTGACTCAGTCAGGCTAGGTGGGGATCCATAGCAGCCCCCTAGCAGCCACCAATCAGCATGAGACAGGGAAATACCTGGGATGCCAGTGGTTTATGGTGGTTAATAACAAGTTGGGAAACCATGTAGTTCAGCATGTACACCCCTCTTGGCTCAAACCAATCAGTTCAAACGAATACCCCTTTTGTACTGACCAATCACCCCTACCCAACTTGTTCCCGCCAATGAATGTGCTAATCATGTTTTAGAGTTGTTATTTGATTTTCCTGCAGTGTATGATGATTTGCTAAGGGATGCTATGATGTATGTGAAGTCCCTGCCCTCTCCAAAAAATGTATAAAACTGCTGCAAACCCTGGGCTCGGGGCCTCTCAGCGTCACCAGTTGCTGTGTGTGCGCGCGGAGGACCGAGCTAGCTCGCAATAAACACCTCTTTGCTGCTTACATCGATCTTGGGTCTCTGGTGGTCTTTGGGGGTCCCGAATTCGAGCATAACACTCCCTCTCTACCCCCCTGATAAAAATGTGACTTTCAGGAGCAAGTGCGAGGATTTAGGTCTGTCTTTTTAAATTGCTATATATTTCGCCACTTACATGGTTCAGAGTAGGTCAGAAAATATGTGAATAAATGAATCAATCAATAGTAATGACCTCCCACCTCTGTTACTGTAAGAATGAAGCCTCTCCATTCTTCCCCACTTTCTGTGTTTTCTGTCTAAAGATGAAGACAAAAACAAAGACAAAGAAAACACATGAGTGATTATGAGCATTAATCCTTTGTTAACTTCAAATAACTTTAGACTTTCATATGATTATATTGTGACAAGATACATAATTCAACAAAACAGCAAGATTTACAAAATGCATATTCTTCTTTCAAAACACATTGTTTAAGGAAATAGTTGTAATTTTTCTAAAACACTTAAATTCAGCTGAAAGGAAGAAATAATTCATTTTTCTTATTTAGTTCTAATATGTGTTTCTTACAAAATATTTCAATACTGTTTTCTTTTATCAGAAAAAGAACTATGAACCTTTAATCTCTATGCTTACTAAACAAGTAAAATTGTACAAATTTATATACTTAGCTCAAAAAAATCAAATATTAGCAAACTCATTTCTGCAGTATATCAATTATTGCTTATTTTCTCCATTGCTATTCAGCATTAACCAGCTTAAAGTTTGGGGCAACTAATGTAGAAACTGAATTCTTAACTTTAAATACCACTACTATTAGCACTGCTACTCATAATAACAGTATCACCCAACATTTTTGGAGTGCTTATAATGGCAGCTACTGTTCTACACATGCCACAGGTACTATTTTGTTTAATATTGTTAAACAAACATAATAGGAGGACACTGTTTGGACTAGGCTTCTGCACTGAGTTCCTATAGGCCAGATTAAAAATCAAAATGGAGTCACTCATGCAACATAATTTCCACATCACTAATCCAAAACTAAGTTGTTATGTGACTAGTGGATAGAAGAGGGGAACAATGTTACAATTTTAATAAGATGGTTCAAATAGGCCCTAGTCAGAGGATTACATCTGAGTAAACATATTTCTGGGTGAAAAAAACAAGTGTGTAGAGAGCTTAAATAACTTGCCTACAATCACACAACTACTACCTAAATCAGCCCAAAATGAAAGGCAGACACCTGTTATGGTTTGGATATGAGGTATACCCTGAAAAGTTCATGTGTTAGGCAATGCAGGAATGTTAAGAGGTAAAATGATTAAAATATGAGAACTATAACCTCATCAGTGTATTAATCCATCTGGTAGATTAAATTTCTTGAAGGGACTATTCAATGGTAACTATAGATAGATGAGGGTGTGGCTGGAGGAAGTAGGGTGTGCCATTGGGGATTATAGAGTATATTATGTCCCTGGCTTCCTGTACTTACTTACTTTCTCTCTCTCTCTCTCTCTCTCTCTCTCTCCCCCCTTCCAAGCAGCCATGAGCTGAGCAGCTTCCCTGTGCTATTCCTTCCACCATGATGGGCTCACATCAAGCCTAGAGCAATGGAGCCAGTTGACCATAGACTGAAACTGTGAGCCCCAAATACACTTTTCCTTCTCTAAGTTGTTCTTGTCAGGTATTTTTGGTCATGGCAACAAAAAGCTGACTAACACAACACCAGACTCTAATTCTGTGCTGTTAAACACTTTATCAGCTGGGGAACTTGCTTAAAATGTAGATTCTGGGTCTCAGGTTTACATGGGGTCTGGCTTTCCTAAATCCAGGTAATTCTTATTATGCTAAAGTTTAAAAACTATTGATTTCAAGGTCAATCAGTAATCTCTTGGCAGTATCTCCTATTACATTTTATTCAATTCCAAGTTGTTCTTTTTATGTTTATGTTATTACTACAGTTGTTGACTTATTATTAATTAGCTCACTTTGATGATTCAAGAACAACTTTTTAAAAACACCAGGTGGGATCCCTGACTTTGTCAAAGAATAGAAGTGTAAGCTTTCATTGTGTTTGTATACTAAATAAATGAACATGCTCTTCTAAAATCCAGTTCAGAAAAGTATACTTCTTGGTTAAGGGCAAGAAATATTAACAAAGTATAAACTTAGCCCCTCTTTTAATTCCTCTTTATTTTACCTACTGGGTTTTTAGAGGCAAATGCTATTATAATCACAGCTCTTTACAGACTGTCTCCTCACTCACCTTCAGCTGCACTTCCTCTTTTGGCAAAACAAGGGTGAATTTTGCACAATTCTTTTCAGTTGAATTTTGGTCAGTAAGGCATGTAAGGTCTATTATGTCTAGTTTGTCCACGTACTACAAAGATAAAAGAAAATCTCATTATTTCATGGATCATACATATTGTAGCAGGAAGAAAAATAATATTTAACTTTAAATTGATTAGTCATTTGCATGATACCCAACCCCAGAGGGTATTTGGAAGTGCTTATGAGGTGGTCTGTTGGACCTGAATCATATATGTTTGCAAAATTATTATGTTTTCATAAATTTTGCAAGTGAGTTGTTGAACATAGGCACTATTAAAAATTAAATTATATAGGGCTGGAGTTGTGGCTCAGTGGTAGAGTGCTTGCCTAGCATGTGTGAGGCACTGGGTTTGATCCTCAGCAGCACATTAAAATAAATAAATAAAATAAATGTTGACCAATAACTAATTTTTTAAAAAAATTAAATTATATAGATATAATTTATAAGTAATTATATTAAAACAAAATTATAATTAAAACTCAATTTATTATTTTCTAATTATATTACTACACTTTACCATGCTTTATGCTTTTGTGGTTATTTATGTCTTTGTTCTGTGTGGTAAATGCTGTATAGTGGTGCTACTGTGCTTTTATTCTCAATTTTTTGTTCAGTGAGGTCACACTGATAGGTTTAAATCAGTCATGGCAGGAGTATTTATACGATTGGAATTGGTAAACTCCTTACAATTCAGGGCTTGATTGTCCCAGGGGCAGCTTTTGTTTGTTTGTTTGGTAAAATATCACATAGTAAAACTTAGGCATAAAGTCTCTGTTGCATATTCTTGTTTTTGTTTCTGTTTTTTCTTCACAAAATTTTAAAATGTAAAAGAAACAAATTCATAGCTCAGACTATATAAAATCAACGCCAGATTTGGCAGGTTTGGTCCAAGGTCCACTGACTTCTGGCCACCATGCTAGGCTTAAAAAAGTAAATGAAAGAATGTTAATAAAGCAGATGAAACTTCTAAGTTTGTTGTAGCCGAAGCTGTTTCAATATAAATGAGAAAAAATTGACAAAATATTAACTAATTCATTGAAGAAGCTGATTCAGCAAAAATCAAGAAAAGCATTCTGTAAGAATCAATTTGCTAAAAAGGAAATTATAACAAAGGGAATTGTACATTGTTCTAATTGTGTGCTATACATTTTTATATCAATAACATTTATGTTTTTATGTACATATATTCATACATACATTTTTTCCAGAAAGCAATTTTCAACTTTTACCACACACCACTAGTTATGAGAATCTCATTAAAAAGTCACTATCTTATCTAAGTAAAAAATATATATATATATATTTCTTCAAAGCAGTTGGTCTATATGGACTGATCTACATGCAATGAGACAGCTTTGTCTTCTAGTATTAGAAAAAAACAACTGTAGTAAGGTTTTTTAATGTGTGTGTTTGTTTTTGTTAAACTATCTTAATTCTGTTAGTTATGCTTAATGTAACTTGTTTTACTGTATTCTTATAAATGTTATTTTATTTTTTGAATCAGGTAGGACATGAAAATAGGAAAATAAAAATTTTCCAGAGCCATTTCTATATTGATGAGGTTGAGAATAAATTTGGGTTGGTCTGTTTATGTTCAATGGACAAAGAAGACTTAAAAATAGAAGAAGAGGTACAAAGAAATGAAGTCAGACTTTAAAATTAAACAAAAAAAGTTTTTTTTTTTTTTTTCCTAATGAACAGTCTAGATCAAGCTCAGTGAGTTTTGCAGCAAAAAAGAGGAAGCAACAAAGGAAGAAGTGGTAGAGTTAGATAGAGTGCTGTGGGCTGATCCATTGATTAGAAGAAAGGAAGTCACATATTTTGTTTTTAATTGTAGTGTCACAAAGAGTCTCAAAGGTCAGCTGTCTAATGTGGCTGCCACCTGATGCTTGACCCTGATCCAGGGTCTCCTGCCAGTAGTCCTTCAACCTATGGTTTAACATCTTCAATAAGAGGGAGCTCATGTCTCCCAAGTAGCTCTGCCTATTAGCAAGTTTTTGGTTGTACTTAGCTACAGCTTTCTTCCAGGTAAGTTCCATTTATTGGTGTTTGTTTGTCCATTTTCTCTAGAATAACCCTAAACAAATTCAGTGGCTCTTTCTCATGACTTAGAGTCCTATAGACATGTGAAGACAGTTTTAAATACTGCCCTGATGAAAGCTAAATAAATACCTACAATTCTCTCCTGATCTGTCCCAGTTTTATCTCCTGAGACGATCACCCCCCCAAAAAAAAACTTCCCAAAAAGTCTGCATCCTCTTTTGAATATCAAAATTGGTAAATGAGTAATTCTGCAGCATTTCATTTTAATAGCCTTTTCATGACGGAGTAGTTCAGAAGGCTGGCACATGAGCAAGACCTGTATTGTACCCCTTTTATTAGCTGTCTGATCTTGTACAATTTCCTAATCCTTAACTTCAATATTCTCATCTATAAAGTGGGGATTAAAAATGTACCAACTCTGCAGAGTTGCTGTGAGAAATAAATAGATATGGACATAAAATGTTTGAATGCTTATTATCTGCCATGTACTCGCTTACATTCTTACATGACCCATCTTGTAATTCTTTTAATATAGTCTTATGAGATGGACCATGTTTCATCCTACATTTAGTGATTTGAAGACTGAGAGTATGGATATCTCCTCTACAACTCTTTTTGTAGTTTGCCTCTCTAAATTCACTTATCCTTTTACTACCCAACTCTATACCAGGAGAGGGACCTTTATGGATGACATTAAGGACTTCCCTTATTCTTTGACTTGTTGTTCTGTTGGACCACTGAGGAACACTGGCAGGGGATCAGAAGGGTGAGAAGAGTGAAGTTGGGTATTTCTTACTCTGTGTGGTTGTTTCCTCAACCAAAGATCCTATCTCTCTCAAGTATGATCTCTCTCATTCTTTTCTTTTTCTCCTTTTTCTTGGTAACAAGGTACTATTATTAGCTCCAGGGTTCTATACTATCCTTAGTGATGTCCTTACTGTGCCCATTGCTTTGAATATTTAATAAAACTTTATTATATTTTCTTCACGTTGTGCAATTTGAGATGTCATCATTTTTCTACCAGTTCTCTCTTTGATACCCCGAGACACAAAGAGATTAGGTAAGTAGCCCAAGACCTCACAGTTAACAGTGGCAGGATGGGCAATGTCTGAGCACACCAGGTTCTCCAGTCACCATAGCTGTACTGCCTCTTGCCACATTGTAGTAAGTGAACAAGAACTGTTAACATTCTCATTTACTGTGCATCATACAAGGTTTTAGATGATGAGCTTTTGATTTACTAACATCAGTGGGAAGTTGAAATGCACAGCAGAGAACTTCATTTTTCAACAGTTTATTGTGGTTTCTGACAACACCCTTGTATAAATCTTGTTCATCCAGAGCTCTGGTGAAAGATGACCATTTTAAGTTTATTGTTTTTGTTTTTGTTTTTAATGGTTTTCATCTAGTTCACTGCTAATGGGGCTGAAATGCCTAAATGTGGGTACATTACACAGCTGTCTTTTTGTTTCTTTCATTAAATCAGGGTATGACAGCTCTAATAATGATGTTCTAAGAAGTATAGGCTACTATATTCATGATGTAAATACTTATATCTAAATAAGTTTATATCTGAATAAGTTACTGGCCCATAAAATTTCTTGTAAGTATAATATTCCAAGGTAGGCAAACACTTTCACTAAAATATCTTATTCATGAAATACATGAAACATACAATTAAAATTTGAAATTAAAACAAATAAATCCCTTGTGTTGCTCTCATGCTTTGGGGGATATGTTTTTGTCTTTATAGAAAAATTAATTTGTGACATTATATGTTGTTTTTCTCTGGGTATCATCTTGTTTCAGATTATAACTGCATGCTACAGCAAGATAAGAAGTGAAGAAATTGAGGCTATCACTTGGTATTAAGTAATTTATATCCAGACAACCAAAATTTCCACCTTTTAACTAAGCTCTAATTATCAGGATCAGAAAGAAGAGAATGCTGAGTTTAAAACACTAGCTAATACATTCTGAGTTGCCCAGGAAATTTTACCTTGAATTTATCATAATTTACAGCCATCAGATTCAAACTTTTTCAGCTGACTTGGTTTTACTACAACATCCTTATTTTTGGATGGCAGAAAATCCAAAACAAATAATAAACTGTGTGACAAGGGCATATTGGGGAAAAATTGAATCAATTGAATTTGTTTAACTACTTACTATTGTATTTTTCTTTTCGGTATAAAAGAAAAGTGTAGTTCCTCTTAACTCTGTCCAATAACGTTTAAACTCCTGTGGGAAAGAAATCATAGGCATTATTTCTTTAGTGTATATTCAACTATTTTCTTTTTAGATTTCTTAAATGTTTGTGAAGTTTCTTCTTTATCCTAAATGATTACCCTAATTTTTAATGACTTAAGTTTATATTTCATTCTTGATTAAATTCTTGTCAAATTTAGTTTAGCATAATATTTGAGGTAAGAATACGGTTTGATTTGTATTTAGATAATTTTCCAAATTCTTCTCAATGATTTCAGACTGTTTATACAGTTTCAGTGGAAGCACATGAAAAGTGCTGTTTAAGGACCCAGAAAAGAACAAGGGTATGATATCTAACTTTCAGAACAGATGAAAAGATTGAATGAATTAATACATGCAAAGCACTTGGCAGAGAACACATTCATAGTTTAGGTTCAATAAATATTAGATATTATTGGTACAGATCAAGGAAATGTGAGAAATTGATAATGACAAAAATAATAATACCATCAAAGTTAAACTTTGAAGATTAAATTTCATTCATGTGTTATTTAATTATTAACACATTCACATTACTATGAATTCTATAGAAATATGATATTTTAAGTTTTAAAAAATTTCAATAACATCATCAGACTCTCATTTTACTCAAGTGAACGCCTATTTCAATAATTATGTAGATTGGCTATATTACAGAAGAATAACAAGTGAGTTTAAAGAATAAAGAATAAAATCTTTTTACATTTAAAAACTTACCTCCATATCTAGTTCTTTCCAAAAGTATCTTTTTAGGAATTCTAGTAGGCTTAATAGACATCTTGCTCAACCTTTCTTTTAGGATTGATTGATCAATATATCTATCTATCTATTTATTCATTTTTGTGCTCAGGGGCACTCGACCAGTGAGCCACATTCCCAGCTCTATTTTGTATTTTATTTAGAGACAGGGTCTCATTGTGTTGCTTAGGGACTCACTTTTGCTGAGGTTGGCTTTGAATCTGCTATCCCTCCTGCCTCAGCCTCCTGAGCTGCTGGGATTATAAAAGTGTGCCACTGCACCTGGCATCTTTTAGGATTTAGTAAGTTGAATTTTTGCAATTTGTTGAGTCATTATGGCTCACATGTTGAGGATAGAGGTAAGAGCCACAGAAATAATTTTCTTAAATTTTTCCTAAATGTGAAGATACTTTTTACCTTAATATTTTTACCCTTTCCACATTGACATATCTTTTTTTTTTTTTAAAGAGAGAGTGAGAAGGAGAGAGAGATAGAGAGAATTTTTTAATACTTTTTTTTTCCCCCCCCCGGCGGTCACAACATCTTTGTTTGTATGTGGTGCTGAGGATCGAACCCGGGCTGCACGCATGCCAGGCGAGCGCGCTACCGCTTGAGCCACATCCCCAGCCCTATCATTTATTCTTATTTTGATCTAGGACAACATTTGTCACCTCTTCAGAATTTATGCATTTATTTTCTCAAATAATAGAAACTCTACAACCTCATCTTGCTTTTATTTTCCTAGCTCCCAAGATTAAATAATAATAAAATAATAATTCTGTTTTACAACCATCATATTTTCTTGTGTTCTTGATCAAACTAGTTTCACCTTTTAATAAGAGGCTTTATTATTTATTTTTTCTATAAAACAAGCCATCCTACCAAACAAACCAAAACCCAAGTGTACTTACTGAACTAAAACAGCAAATGTTTTCTATTTCTCACCATTCTGTGGCTGGCTAATTGTTTTTCTGATCTGGATGTATGTGGCTGTGGCTAAATGGTCTAGAGTGGCCTCATTTACCTGTATAGGTCTGGGTTGTGAATGTAGAACTAGTTGAGAAGGCTGAAACAGCTAAATTCTTACTCCTTATGATCTCTCATCCTCTAGTCAGCTAGTCCAGATTTGTTCACATGCTGGCAGGATTCCCAGGAGTAAGAGAGGCAAAGCCCAATGCAGAAGCATATTCTAAGCTTCTGCTTTCATCACATTTACCAAAGTATGTCATATGACCCAGTCCAGAGGCAAAGGATAGAAAAATAGGCTCAAGCACTTTGAGAGAGGAAAGGAAAGTCAAATTTCAACGGGATGTGGATATTGTGAGGTTTAAACACATCACTAGTATTACTGCAACAGTCCACCTCAGGCACAGAAATGAATCTTGGGACAAGGTATCTTTGTCCAAGTTCTGTGGTCATTTCACTCCAATTTACATCTCTAATTAAGAGCTGGCTAAAAAAGTGTTATACACCTGCAGATGCTACTTAAACAAGAAAAAAATCACCATAGAAAAGAACAATTCAAAAATATATATGATTCAGGGATCTGTCAATATATAGTCCTCATTGGTGCAATTACAAAACCAGGCAAAGAGGTTCTTTTTTTGTTGTTGTTAATTTCTTTTTAGTTGTAGGGGGACACAATATCTTTGTTTTATTTATTTATTTTATGTGGTGCTGAGGATCAAACCCAGTGCCTCATGCATGTGAGGCAAGCGCTCAACCGCTAAGCTACAACCCCAGCCCCACAAAGAGGTTCTTCATCTTGTCTGGAATCCAGATGCCCAATGTATATAGTTGATAGAGTCAAGCAGTTTAATAACACAAAAGGACAAATCTCTCTCTCTCTCTCTCTCTCTCTCTCTCTCTCTCTCTCTCTCTCTCTCTCTTTCTCTCTCTCACTCTACCCCTCTAGTATAGGAGATTGAACCCAGGGACACTCTACTACTGAGCTACATCTCCAGTTTTTTTCTGATTTTCATTTTAAGACGGGTCTCACTAAGTTGCCCAGGCTGACCTCAAATTTGTAATCCTCTTGCCTCAGCCTCACAAGTTGCTGGGGTTACAGGCATAGCCTGCCACACCTAGCTGAGAGAACAAATCTTAATTTCAATCCCATTAGAAATTTTTCTTTATTCTTTTCATACAGTATGCAAAGTGCATTGCCCCTTGCCTGGCAATTCTGCTGCCTATACTCTCCAACCTACACTGCATTATTGAATACTGCCAGAATGGATTATCTCCTCTGTAGAGAGTAGGATTGGTGAGTTGGGGAGGCAGCATGCTCAGTTCAGCCCCTTCCTGTCCTCCCTCAGCTCAGTCCATCAGGAGATAGTGGGTATTCTGTTCCATTCCTTGCTGGGTGGCAAAGGACCTCTAAAAGTGAAGGTTTATGCCTGTCAAACTGAGTCATGACTTGAGGTAGTTCAAGACTACCTAAACCTTGGATAAACTGTTAGCCTTAAATCAAAATCACATATTGATAGACTTTAATCAATAATAAAGATAAGTAATAGATCTTAATTTGTGTGTTCCTGGTTTTAATTGGTTTCAAACTTGAGAGAGGAAAATCCCAATGAACAGGTCTAAAAATGTAAAACTCGGGATGACAGCTCATGGAGATTTGTTTTGGAATGATTAAAATGTTCTGGAAACAGTGGTGATAGCTGTACAGGTTTGTAAACATATTAAAACATACTAAATAATAATTATTATTATGCCTCCCTAGTTAGAGTTCACCTTTAAGGGACCAAGAATAGAAATAGTGAAACCAGCTTCTTGCTATTGCTTCATAGGATATTGAAGAACTGCATGAGATAATAAGGTAAATAAAAACATAGGACCTGAGATATAGCAAGTACTCAGTAAATGTTGATCATTTTAACAACAAAAATGAAGAAGAGTATTACTTCATCATTTACATTATTAATAGGTGTTTTGTACTTTTTTATCTTCATAATAATAACAAAAAAATTCAGTTTTTTTGTGGGAGTTGATTTGTTTTATTTGGCTTATCATATTATTTTTTTAAAAATTAAGGCTTTCACATTCTGCCCTGTTGGTAAGCCTCTGCGATGAAAGGAGTAGGTCAAGGATATTTTGTATTTCAGAACTAGAATGGGGTTGAGGGAGAGTGCAGAAGGAGATGGGAATGTTGGTATATTGTTTAGGGAACTTAACTGTCTTCTAAGATTAAATCTAACTTCAAAACTAAGTGATTCTTGAAAGAAAGGAAAGCAAGAGAACCCCTGAACTCAAAGTCTACCATTGTTAATTTTTTAAACCAGTCCCATTCATTTAATTGTACATAGCTAGAATATCTAACATCAATAATAGCCAGCTAAGGTTCATTGAGTTCCTTCTGAATGTAAAAGCAGACATTAATTTGTGCTCCTGAGAAAAATTACAGACATATCCAGTCATAAGAAAATGATATTAATTGGGTAGATTTAATCAGGGAAAAATGGGAGAAAATGATATTAATTGGGTAGATTTAATCAGGGAAAAAGGGGAGTTTAACTGGCAAGCAATACCAAAAACTCATGGAAAGGATTAAGGAAAATTTATTAAAAGGGGGAAGAGGCAAGTTTAAAGGCACTGAGTTGAGTGAAAAAGCAGTCTTGGAGGAAAAGTAAGGTTACAAATAACAATAGGCCCCGTAAATTGCAATCACAGTCACAAACCTAAAGACAAAACAAACTTACATTCAGTATATAGAGACCTTCTGGTCACAGTCTTGATTTAGTTTCTGATAAGAACTCATGAATACCAGTATAATCTGAATCATCTATAAACATCAATCAATAATTAATATCTAGGTATACATATATAGCTATAGAGATACTTAAATATTTTTAAAAATTAATTTTGAAGGCTATATCTTTCAATGAAGAAAGTTTAGCCTAAAGATTCTTATTTTTTATATATGTGGGAAATATCAATGTCTCTTTAGAGATATTTTCATATACATAAGTTTTCCATAAGAATTAATGAAGCCTCAAAAATATATCTTCATATCATTACTGAACATTTCTTAGTGACATCTCTGTAGACATTTAAAGTTTATCCAATTTCAGTCAATACAAAAATTTTATAGTATTTGGCCTAAATTAATTATTTCATTCTTTCTTTAGTAACAGGCAATTTCATATTTATTTACCTTATTATTTTAAATTAACCACAATTATTATTTTAAAGGAAATTATTTTAACTAATTATATGTTTTAATTTTTATATTTTAAAAATATGAAGTGCTTTGTTAATATTTTGCTTTGAAAAAAATATTTTTATAGCTTACTATTCATATTAGCACCCTAAATATTATCTTTTAAAGTCACTATGTTGAATAGTGTTTTTAGAATGTATAACCATATTCAATTTTATCATTTCAAAAAGGTTTATCACTTAATTTGATCATTATAAACTTCAATATAACTGAGAATAATAGGAGTAGAAAGTTTAATTTTAATCAAAATATCATTAATTCATCATTGAAGCATAGTAGTAAATCATGGAGAAAATATAAAGAAACTATCTTCAAAGCTGATATCTTCTGTGATGTTTAAATGAACATTTTTGCTCTAAATTCGGACACTGACTATTGTATTAGTGGCCTAATACTAGAAACAGTATTATATACATTATACACACATATGCATATGTAAGCTATACAATGTATTTAAATTATGCAAAATTAGAATCAATTTTCTGAGTTCAAGGACAAAAAGAGGGAATAATTCAAATAGAAACAAAGATACTTTAACACATCATATCACCATGAGATGACTTTTATATTTAAACTGAAGTTTCGTGTTACCATTATCATCTGTACACTTACCTGGTATGCTGCCCGCTTGACTGACAAAAATCCTTCAAAGTACATGGGTAGAGCAGTAATCTTTAATCTTTCCTGGAAGATCCTGCGAGGGGCTGGTTTCGGGGGCTTCTTAGCCATCATACCCTCTGTGGTATGTGGTTTGGTTTCAACTGTATCCAGTCTCAAAATGAAATCTCCCTTGCGTGAGAGGAAAAGGCAACTGTTCAGAGAGGAAGTCCTGACTTGCTTTTTTAACTACAAAATACTACCACCAACAGGAGACACACAATTCCCCACCCCACCCCACCCCCCACACTTTTTTCCCTTTACATTTTGTGAAGTAAGAAAGAATAGTCATAGATCAAATTTTAGAGGGCAGTCTCTGAGTAAACAACATGTACTTAGATTTATAACAGGAAAATAAACAGAAGATTAACATCACCTGAGGATGAAAGAAATAGGCATAGAGATCATGGGCTTTAGGGGAGACATCAAGGACACATTTGTATTTTCCACATTTTTCATCGTGGTTGTTTATTTTCAAAAGACATGGCATAAATAAACTCTACTTCATTAAAAATTACTCCATAGTATAATAATATTAGTGCTGATTCCATTGGTTAAATATTTCAGGGCCAAACATTGCTTAAATTTAAAAATAATACAACATGATTTTCCTTACACCATGCCCATTCTTCAGGTTCACTAAAATCCTTATATTATAGGAACACAGAAATTTTCACATTTGTGTCCCTAGGTATTTTGAGTATGTGGATTACCAGTATTTGGGAGGACAAGCCAGTAAAGAGAGCTGTAAATTTCCAAACTTATAGTTTGTTATTTTATGCTTTCTGAGCTGTGAATCACTAATACTATGATATTTAATAAGATTCAAAGAGCTACACTGGGGCAAATAAGAATTCAATAGTTTCAGGTGAAAAATGGTCCTGGAGATGTACTATTTGGCCCAGCACAGCACAGGGAATAATGGGAGAAGGGAATGTTAGAAGGAATTTTGATTTGTCTTACAGAGGTTCTGACAATTTCTACCTTTGTCTATTTCATCCTCAGCATTTCAGAACTACTCTAAATTTAGGACGGCATGGGCCCAGTTTGACCAGCTTATTCCCTGAGATTAGAGCAATCCTGAAATCCTCAGTGGGAATGAATCCTCCTTTGCTAATGGAGAGACTATATATATTTTCCCCACTGCTATGGGTTCCACTGAATTGGCAGCTTTAGATATGGGGAATCCAAATTGTCTGTAAATTGAGTAGGGACCATACATACTGATTATCAGTAAATCAGAGAAGAGTATTCAGATGCATTATGAAAATAAAAGAAATTTGAAAAATATGCTGGAAATTGAAGAGTCACAATTACTGCCCTGTTTTAATAATATGTCTAGACCTGCTTTCTTGTTACCTGAAACTTCAAATAATAAAATATAAGTCAAATTGGATTTCATAAGGACAAAATTATAACTACTTTTTAATTTTAGTATATGAAGAAAATGAGTTGAATGACATATAAAAACCTGATTTGATAAGTGATCAAATTCTCCTTTTGGAAGGCTGGTAGCTGATGTAATATGGGGAAGAAGTAAAAAGAGGCACGAGAAGTGAGAGATGAAGAGATAAAAGCAGAAGAAGATAGAATGCTAGATATCATCAGTGATTGGACTATGAGAAAAGTAATCATTGGCTTTATGGCTGTGAAATTTTTAAATATTTTTTAGTTGTTGATGGACCTTTATTTTATATATTTTTATGTGGTGCTGCGAATCAAACACAGTGCCTCACACATACTAGGCAAGCGCTCTACCACTGAGTCCCAGCCCCAGCCCATGGCTGTAAAATTTTATGGGAAAGAATAAAGAATGCCTCCAGAAAACTGTAAGGACAGAATAACTTTTGTAAAATAAGAATCTGGTTAATTATGTTTTTCTTATTTTAGAGAAATAAGCCATTTTTTTAAAAAAGACTCTAAGTTGCTTGGTCTGCTGATTTATAAGTAAAATTATTCCTAATGCATCAAGAATAAAATTGTCTTCCCTGCCAAATCAAACTACAAAATGCAAAAATGTTTAAACATTATTAGCCAGTTAGACCTGTCTGCAATTTCTAACATCATTGTACTCCTGCACCATTACAATGGCAGTTCTCTTATAGAATCTCAAAAACAGCCTACTAGTTTCCACTATCTTTCTTCTCTGATTCATTTAAAATGCAATCCAATCAAGATACTCTCCTGTTTACAACACTTTAATGGATTCTTATTGCTTTTGAGATTCCTGCTTTCATTTCTTCATTGAATACTAAATACTTCGGAAGTACTAACAATGTGTCCCACTATGGCACACAAGGTCTTTAGTAATCCCATCTTTTAAAATCAAAATGCCTTTGGCTCTGGTAATTTTTCTTACTCCCAGTTGCCTCAATACCCTATGGTCTTTCCTACCATCCCATACCTTTCACTTACTGGGCTCCATGCTTGCATGTTCTTCTTTCCAACTTGTTTGTATGATATGATTCATCCTTCAGGAGCCAGGTTGACTCTGCCCTTGACTGTGAATATTTCCTGAAACTTTCCCAATCCACAAGGAAAATGTTATTACTCTCAATTCTGCATTCCCATAGCACTTTGCACACATTTTTTTTATCACAGTATTTGTCCTTTGTGTATCATTTATTGATACATGTTTTGTACTACCAGGAAACTGAGTTTTCCAAAAGAATAGAATGTGTTGAAGCAGACGTTGATGAAAAGTAGGTTGCAATATTATTTAATGAATAGCTCCCAGCTCAAAAATAGGATTCAATTTAAACAGTTGTGACAGGAGTTTCCTTTTTCCTGATATGTGTGACTGTTGGTTGGCACAGGATTCTTTCATTGCCATGTAGAAGAATCATGTTACTATCAAACCGTTGGAAATACATAGAACCCCAATTATTACAGTCATAGGAACATCTATGTCACAGGAGTTTGCTTTAAGTCGGGTTATATAGGAGATATATATAGGATGGTGTATAAGATTAACTCATAAAACCAAAATCTCAGTGCTTTTTTGAGTCATCTGTTTTCAATGCCATTCAAGTCAATGAATACACGTTTATAATAGTTAAGGATCTCCCAGTTACTTTACTATCAACTTATAACTGATTCAATCAACAATGGATAGGACCACCAATCCTTCTTTAGTATGTCACAATTTCTGACCCTTATTTTACTATTTATTGATGATTTATTGCCATATTCATTCCAGTTCACTATAATAGATTTCAGTTGAATTGAATTAAATACATTTATGTTTATTACCTATAAATGAAGAATACAGCTTTTATTTTAACCATTCTGTGGCATAATTATAATTTAGAATCAAATAGATGATGCAAAATTTAACTTATATAGCACTTTGCAATTAAAGGACTTATTTCAGACCTTAACAATTCATTACATAGAAAAACTGTGTTTTTGTGAAAATTGCTGCCACCTACCTGCACATTGCAAGCATACAGGATTAACTTGGTGATTATGATCCAGGACAGCATTTCTTCCTGAAGGTAGTTTTGTCAGAAAAGGCTATTTAATGTAAATCTCCTTCACAGTGGAACCAATATTTGGCAATAAAGAGTAAGAAAAAGATTAAATATTTATGTAAGAAAATAAAAACAGGTCAAGTATGGTGGTGCACACTTGTGATCCCAGTTACTGAGGAGGCTGAAACAGAAGGATCAAGTGTGAGTACAGCTTCAGCAACTTAGTGAGATGTTTGTCTCAAAATAAAAATGAAAAAGGAGTTCAGTTGTAAAATACCCCTGAGTTCAATCCCCAGGACCAAAAAAAAAAAAAAGAAAAGAAAAGCTTATTTCATCTTAACACATATTAATTCTTAATTGGAATTATGCTATACATTTTAGAATAAATTCTTTTGGTATAAATTTTTTGAAAAAATAATTTTATGATACTAACTTTCTAATTTTTACTTTTGACATTGATATTTCTAAAAAAATAATCAAAATGTCTGTCCTCTTTTACTTAATATAATGTTTCTGAGATTTATTCATACGCTTGTATTTATCACTAGTTTGTCTTTATGGCTGAGAAGTATTCCACTGTATCAAAGTAATACAATTTATCCGTTCACAAAGACAGATGATTGTGCTCAACTGTAGTATGACTGAAGAGGACTAATTTTTTAAGCAGTCAGGTCACTTGTGAATATATTTGTGCTCTGACTTTTATTTCTTTATGGAGTCTTGTTATTAAAGAAACTTTAATATTAAATACCCATAACTATTCAATGGAAAATAAAGTTCTAGAATAAAATGCTCTTTGAAAATGTTTTACCATTCATAAATTTTAAATTAATTAAATTATAGGTAACTACAAGCTTTTACTTCCTTTTCAAACTAAATTTTTGGATCCTTTATTTTCCCTATATACTCATTTAATGTACACATGTACTTTCATAGACTGATACATTAACACACATAGCTTTTGCATGACACACACTTTTTACCAAGAAGTAGTGATAGAAACCTTAAAGATTTAATCAGTTGTTATAGTAGTTCATAAGGAATGATCTTGATGTATTTTCAAAGGGATTTATAATAACAAACCTGTTTTTTTAAAAAATAAATATCACTTCACCATCAATCAACAACCATATTTTAGGATATTAAAACGATGCTGTGGCTATTAAGTACTGTACTTGGATGGATATAAATGGAACTTGGAACTGAAAAGTTTGTGTGGAAACTGTGGTTTCCGTAACTATTTTCATAAGATTACGTTTCCATTTCTCTCTAGATTAGTCCATCTCTACCATGCTCTGTGCCTATTTTACATCAGAACAAGCCTTTGCATTTCAGTTTTCTTAAAATAATTGTGGGAGTTCCTGTTTCCAGTGGAAGCAGGAGGGTATAATTTTACATGTGTATTTTACATCTGTTATTGTGTTTGCTAAAATTCTCACTGGAAGTCAAGAGTGTAATGATTAAGAGCTCAGTTCTGGAGTCAGAATTCTTGGGTTAATACCCAGTTTGGCTATTTATTGGTGGTATGATTTGGGGCATGTTACTTAAGTCTCTATGTCCCAGTGCCCTTTGTCTATAAAATAGGGAAATAATTGTCCTCTCATAGGGATGTTCCAAATGCTCAAATGAATGTGATGCATTTATAGAGATTGGCATGTGGTATGCATTTTTATTATTATGTATTACCAATGTGATAATACCAAATTGTATATAATATAGATTGGGAAAACTTTTAAACATAGTAAAATGAGAAACTTCCATAACCATACCAATTTCTTTCTTATTAAATTCTTACTGTCTTCCAAGACAGTAAGAATTTTTTTTCTTTAGCTTTTTTCCTTCAAAATACACTCAATATCAGTATCACAATGCTTAGATCTTAACAGGAACTGTTTAACCCTACAGCCTCAACAACGTTATAATAATTTCCATTTTACATGCAAGGAAATTGAGCAACAGATGATTTAATTAGATTGCTCATAAAGGCATAAGTAAAAGTGCAACACAGGTCTGTCTGATTTCAGAGTTTATAACCTCTTTCTTCTCAACCACTAAATAAAATTAGTAAAATAAAAACTTAGTTTTAATGGGTGACAGCATTTGTTACAGCATTACAAGTTTTTAAAAATTATTAGCTCAACTTATGATTAGTGAGTTTATTCAATAAGTAATCTACTTTCTGATTAAAATTTTCTTGTAATTTTTAACTAAATCATAAAAATCAGACAGGATTTCATAGTCCTACACAAGTAAGGTGGGAAGAAGTCTTCAGAGTACCTAATTTATATTTCCATTGTATCACTAAGGAAACATCCAGAATGAAAACAAAATGTTGCTCTAGATGAATTAGCTACATAATGGTTAGGCCAACTTCAGATCTTCTGGTATAGATTTTTTTCCTTTAAAATACACTCAATATCAAATAATTTATCTAGAACCAGAATTAAAAGAATATTTGGCAGCTGTGAAATGTATGTTTATTTTGATACTTCTAATTAGGGTACAACTAATTCAGGACAAAGAACCAGCTTGATTTTATATTATTTCTTTAAGACTGATTTTTTTTTTTTTTAAGAGAGAGAGAAGAGAAGAGAGAGAGAACGAGAATTTTTAAATATTTATTTTTGAGTTTTCGGTAGACACAACATCTTTATTTTTATGAGGTGCTGAGGATGGAACCCAGCGCCACGCGCATGCCAGGCGTTTTACCGCTTGAGCCACATCCCCAGCCCAAGACTGATTTTTTTAATAGTATCAAATTTGGGATCCTCAAATTTGACGTTAGGGAAACATATTCATGTTTGCTTTATCACACATTTTTTAAGCTTAAAAAGCTCTTTCCAGCACTTGCTGATACTCTGGGTAGTATCAGCAGGTCCTCCAGATGCTTATCGCTTAGATTTGTATTCCCTAATTCTGTCCAGAAGAGTTTCCGTAGAAGGTCAAGTTCCTTATTAAATGCCTCCGCAGTAACATCCACTTTCCTCCGCAAAAGTGCGGACAGAGAGAGAGCAGCGTTAGCGCAGTCCGCTCCCGACATCATATTGATATATATTTACAAGATTATTTATTGTTGGTAATGCTTCATAAAAAATAATATCTACATACTTGAAAAAAGAATACAAGCCCTTCCTGTCATCACCATTATTATTTTCAGAGATGACGAATCAGCAAGGATAATCATTCTCTTCAAAAAGTGTTCTGCAATATCAACTTCTTGTCCAAGTATTATTTGTTGTTCCATAGTAGAATTTTGTTGAGAAGTTTTACAGCGGGCTCAGGGAGCAAATACGGTCTCAAGACTGTGCCTTCCGAATAAAACAGTCCAGCCTCAGGGCTGTCAACGGCGAGGGGCCGATAGGGGGAGGAACGCAAGAACAGACTGTACGCAGGCGGAACTAAGAACCCGCCTGCGGAAAAAGGGACTGTGCTAGCGCCGTGAGGGGGCGGGTCCAATAACGGCTTGTTTTCTATTGGGTGGTGCGGCCAGTTCTGCGCATGTGCGGGCCGTTTCAAACCCCGCAGCTCGCGGGTCTTCTTGTTTGTTGAGGAGGGAGCCAATTGGGCAGGGAGCGACGGAAGCGCGTGCACCCGGGAATTCAGGGGTGTTCCTGGGCCTGGGTCTAACCGCCTGTCAGGTGTTTGGGTATGTGCTCTGCCTTCTCCAGCAGTAGCTCCCGTGGACTTCCTCCTCAGATTCCCTGCGTGGGCGGAGCTGGGCCGGAACATGGCGAAGTCGGGTCTGGTAAGTTCGGGCCCTGGGCCCTGGCCCCTGGCCCCTGCCCGAGAGCAGAAAAGCGGTCGCCCTTGGTTTGGGCGGCCTAGCTGGGGAGAAGGAAACATTGGGCCGAGGACACTGTGGCTCCTCCAGGATTTCCGTAGAAAACCATAATTTCCTTATATTATTTTCTCAGAGTTTCATGTAATTGCGTTTTTTCTCTAACTGCGTTTTCTCTCTATAAAACTTGTGATTTCTACCTGTTAGCTTAGTTGTATTTCCTAGACCTCCAAATGCGACCTACCTATATTAGACGTATACCTTTGTTTCAGTTTTGCTGGTCTGGAGAAAGAGATTACTGATTATGTAACGTGTCTGGAAAAAAAAAATCCGACGTACTCTTGTCAAAATGTTGAGACTTGTATGCAGTTGAGGCGAATATTTATGGGAGCATTTCTTATTGAGAAAATCTTGTAAAAAGCAGCTATTAGTTAAAAGGTGCAACTTTGAATGACTAATGAGGACCAAGAACACTTTGTTTCCATGTTTCCAAGTACCCTCAATATTCAGTAGTCTGTATTTTAGACTTTGCTATGGTATTCTAAACTCACCATTTCTTATCCTAAGTTTGTATTTTCTGATTCATCTCTTTTAAGAAAATATTCAACATGATGATCCCCCATATGTAAAGTTGTGTATGCTTAGAGATATATGAAAGGATAGCATAGTGTGTGCTTCCTACGAAGAGCATGTACATTGTTTACGTTATACATAATCAGAAAAAAAGCCATTCTTGGGGAAGATGAGACTAGAACTTGCGGAATCACTACAGTTCTCTTTTTTAAAAATATTTTTAGTTGTAGATGAACACTTAATTTATTTTTTTATGTGGTGCTGAGAATCGAACCCATGCCTCACATGTGCTAGACAAGTGCTCTACCACTGAGCTACAACCCCAATCCCTACAGTTCATTTTTCAAATGCCTGTCATAAACTTAGAACTCTTTTTGAACCTTTTAATTCTAACATTTGACTGCTATAATCCATTTAAAAGACAAGGGGAAAGAGAAATTGGGAGGTTCTGCTCAGCCATTCCTGTGGTTCTCAAGGCAGGGGTGGGGGCAGAGGGTGAATTGCTCTGTGGAACGTATTTGGTAATGATTTGGAGAAATTTTTGTTTTTTCCTAGGTAGGGGTGATGTGGAGGATGAGGGAGTGCTACAGGTCACCTAGTGGGCAGAAGAGGAGGGTGCTGTTAAGCATTCTTAATGAATGGCACAGGCCCACACAACAAGGAATTATTCCATCCAAAATATCAGTAGTTGGGGTTGACAGATCCCAAATATTGATATACAATATTATATTTTTTGAGAAACATAATTTCACTTTGAATGAAAAAACCAACATTGAAATCAACTGAAGAATAAGTTGAAAGTGACAGTGTATATTTATTTTGAAAATTAGAAATTTTTATGTTCCGACTTGTAGAATTTAGGAACCTTATTTGTCTTGTTCATCACTGGCTTGCTTTCTTTCTTTCTTTTTTCATTACTGGCTTTCTAGTGTGCTTAAATAGCACTTGGCATTCTGATAGATTAGTATTTGTTGGACAAACGAATTTCCTGGAATCTTGGCCTTAAAATTTTCCTATTTAAAAGAAGAACAGGTAGTACTTTACAGGTTTTAAGTTTCAGGGTGCAGATTGGGAACGCCTTCAATTTATTAAGTGAAATAGAAAAGTGGCTATAAATTATGCTTTGGAAGTTTGTGTAATATTCTTAGAGTTGAATTTTTACTTTATTGTTTCACAGTGTTGAGTACTAGAAAGAGACGTAGGTGCTTGAATTAAAAGTTCCCATCTTTGTTTTACTCTAATCAAGAGTGGTGAAGATCAAAAATACAAACAATAATAAATGCTGGTGAGGTTGTGGGGAGAAAGGAACACTTATACATTGCTGGTGGAACCGCAAACTAGTACAACCACTCTGGAAAGCAGTTTGGAGATTGCTCAGAAAACTAGGGATGGTACCTCTACGTGACCTAGCTATCCCACTCCTGGGTATTTTCCTCAAAGATCTAAAATTGGCCTACTACAGTGACACAGCCACATCAATATTTATAGCAATATAATTCACAATAGCTAAATTGTGGAATCAACCCAGATACCTGTCAGTAGATGAATGGATTAAGAAATTGTGTTCATGTTCTATTCAGCCATTAAAAAGAATGAAATTATGGCATTTGCTGGTAAATGTATGGAAATGGAGACTATTGTGCTAAGTGAAATTAGCCAAACTAAAAAACTCAAAGGTCAAATGTTTTCTCTCATATGATAAAGCTGGAGTAAAATAAAGGAAAGGGAGAGGGAAAACTAGGAAAACATAAAGAACCAATCAAATAAATTAATAGATGAGTGAAGGGAAGTCTAGTAGAGTAGAAGAAGAAGATGGGGAGGTTGGGAGGATTGGAGGGAAAAGGGGGGGATCATGAACTGAAATTGATTTCCATGCATGTATGAGTTTATTGGGATGAACCCAACTACTATGTGTAACCATTAAGCTAAAAAAAAAGTCTCCATCTTTGAATAATAGCAAAACTATTGTAATAACAGGACAGAGGGTATATATAGCACAGTAGTAGAGTACTTGGTCTAGCCTGCACAGGGTGCTGGGTTTGATTCCCAGCACTCGAAAACCAAACAACAACAACAACAAAAAGACTTATAGGGCTGGGGTTGTGGCTCAGCAGTAGAGCGTTCTTCTTGCATGTGCGAGGCCCTGGGTTCAATCCTCAGCAACACATAAAATTGAATAAAATAAAAGTATATATAAAAAAAAAGACTTGTAAAATAACAGAGACCTGATAGATATTTCTGTCTCTTAGTTTGTCATCTGTAAAATACATTCCATCTTTTATTTCTTAGGTACTTCGTGAATATGATAAACTCTCACCTTCATTAAAGAAAGACTTTTAAAATAAATTTTCTTATTGACATCTCTTTTTCTAATTTTTTAAAATTGTGGATGAATCTTTATTTTATTTATGTATCTTTTTTGATATTAATATGGCCTACAGACTAGGCAAAGGTCTGGGAAGAATATAAATTAGCTCAAGACAAAGTTCTTAAGTTTCTTAAAATCTAATAGAGGCTTTTGTTTTTTCTATTTCTGTTTTTCTTCCTTTCCTAAATAATTCAATTCTAAAACCATTAAGTGGGGCCAAGCAAGACAAGTATCCCTGTGGGTGGGGAACTCTAGTGGCTCAGAGCAGGTATGTAGGACCCTAAGCAGGGTTGAGAGGTTAGCCTTTTCAGGATGCCAGTGTGTGAGTCAGGTGAATATTGCATCCATGTGAGTAGAGGACAGCTTGTGTGGGGCATATGAGTTCAAGCACAAATAGGAGATATGCACATAGGAGGATTCCTGGAAAGGTGTTGGAACCCCAAGTGAGGTGAAGGGATCATTCCTATGGATAGACGTTTTAGTGTGGAGTAGGGAAGGCATGTATGCAGAAGGGGAAATCTTGGCCTAACATGGTAAGTGAGCCTAAGTGGTATCACAAGGACATCTTCACAGGACAGTGCCTTGCCTAAGGTGTCAGAGCCTGAGCTGAGTAAAGAGGGAATATGTATGACAGAGGAGATTGAGTCCCAGGGGGAGAGCTTCTGTAACTGAGAGGAACGTGGGAAGTTTGAGGCCTAGCAGTGTGCGGAAGTGCCATGATAGGGGTTAGTACTTATCTCCAAGTTGATAGACTTGGAGAATGCTCAAATAAGTGAGGGAGTATGTGTGTATTTTTCATTATTAAGAATTTTTCTTGCTCTTTGTTCAGTGTTTATAGTATGCTACTTTGGTTTTATGAATCTAGCATTTCAGATATCTCTTGAAGGTATTAGAACTTTCTTATTTTTGAGGTTTTCTTCTTTCCCATCATTGATATTAGTTTTTCCTTGGATCTTTTTTTTTATTTTTTTTAAAAATTATATCTTCATTTTTTTTTCCATTTTTGTTTCAGGGACTTACATGTGTGGCAATCCATATTGTTAATTATATTTGAGACTGAGACAAACGAATACTGTTTGGGATAGGAGAAGCTTGAGTCTACTGTTCTGTATAGAGGTTTTCCTTTAATTGTACTGCTTTTATTCTCTTTTCTTGATCCTTGCCTCCTTTAGTTCTTAATTTCCTACTTACGCACTTTTTAATGGCTTTTTCCTAGCCAAATCAGCATCCCTTCTCATTGACAACAGTATCCTATGAGCTTACTTTAGGCTGCTATTGCTTTCATTTCTGTTTCATCATTTATTACTCTTCATGTATTTTTTTATCTTCCAGTAATTTGTTAAGTTTGTTTATGTAAATGGTGTTATCTTTCATGATCCTTTTTCATAGTTGTTTTATGTCATGTTAGTTCTTTATTATTCTTTTAGTGGGAATCTTCCTATGGGGAAGGGATATAGTAGATATTGGTAGTCAACCAACTTGAATTACTGGAAGCCCAGATAGTTAGATTTTTGATAATGGAAAAGGTATGAGTGGAGGTGAAGGAAGAAGAGGAATAAAATAAATTATACCTGGTTAGGGGTGAGGAGATAACATCAAAAATGTTTGGAAATAGTAGGTATGAGGTGTATTTCTCTTCTACTCGATCCATTCTCTCTCATTGTAACATTATGATAGGTGATTAAAAATACTTAATAAATAAAGAAATGAACATTTTTGGCATGCCATTATTGGAATGAAATTAGTTTGAAAGTAAGTTGTATTTGATTACATTTGAAGTAAAAGTAGTAAATTGCTAATTAACTTTTCTTTCAGGATCATCTCAAAAATGGCTACAGAAGAAGATTTTGCCGACCTTCCAGGTAATTTATATATATTTAACCTTGTAAGACTTATGTTCTAATACTGACTCTGCATTATTATCTTTGGCACATCATCTTTATTTTGGTCTTTAGAAAGTGGATTTTTAAATGAAGAAAGGAAAAACTGTTACTTTCTAATATATATTATGATTTGTGAGTACATGCACATATATTGTGATTTGTCAGTAACAGACAGACCTGATTTTAAAAAGTAAATATGTTAGGTAGAAGTTAAAAAAACTAGATCATATGAATCAGAGCCAGAAGACTGATATGTTAGGCATTAGGTATCTTTTATACACTTGAATAATCTGTTCTAAAATCCTCTTGGAATAGGCCAACCAGATGTAAATACACACAAACCCATGTAGATGCACACTTTATAAAAAGCAAAGAAGATGGTATTTGTAGAATAGCTTAATGCAGGGGTTGTAGTAATCAAGGTTTGGTGGAGTGGTTTTATATTAAGGTATTAATGAGAATGGGGAATAAGAGATGAATTGGAGAAAATTTTTCAAAAATTTCAATACTTGGTAAGTATAAATTATTTTTTGTCTTATAAAAATTCAGAGACTTTATTCAGTATGCTAGCTGCCAGATTGTATCCATACTATGTCATTTAGATTTCTTGTTTGACAGTCTGGTTGATAGTGACATATGTTCTAATACTGACTCTGCATTATCTATCTTTGGCAAGTCATCTGATTTATCCCAGATTTATGCTTCATAAACATCTGATTCACCCTAAAAAAGATGATCTAACTAGTCTCAGGGAAATGACTGATTTTGTGTTTTTCTGCAAAGTTCTAAAGGAAAGTTTATGCATATATTGGGATGATAATTATTGGTCTAGGTATTTCTGAGATCTTTCAGTAATAAAATTCTGTGATGCATTTTTAGTCAGCTTTTTTTGTGACTGTGACCCCAAAACCCAACAAGAACAATTAGAAAAGGAAAAGTTAATTTTGGCTCAGTTTCAGAGGTCTCATTCGATGATAGATGACTGACTCTATAGCTCTGGGCTTGATGTGAGGCAGAACATAATGTCAGAGGGGTATGGTGGAGGAAAGTGGCTAAGGACAAGGCCACCAGGAAGCAGAAAGAGAACCACTTACCAGGACAAAATATAAACCCCAAAGGCATTCCCTCAGTGATCTATTTCCTCCAGCCACACTTGACCTGCCTATAGTTATGGACCAGTTAATTCCTGTCAGTGGATTCATACACTGAGTTGGTTAAGTTCTTATAACCCAATCAATTCACCTCTTACACTTTCTTGCGTTGTCTCACACATGAGCTTTTAGGGAACACCTCATATCTAAGTAATAACAATGGATAACCTATTAATGTATTGTGGATCACAGTCTTGAGTTACTTTATAACATAATACTTTTCTAATTCAAGAATAAAAGGAATGTAAATGAGGAGTTAATAAACTACAGCCCATAGACTGGCTAATTGTTTTGTCACAGATTTTGGTTCAGTTTTATTGGAACAGAGCTAGAATGGCACAGTTGAGTAATTGTGACAGACTATACGGTTTATAAGTTAAAATATTGACCAATTAGTCTCTTGAGCCAAAGTGTGCCCTTGTCAGAGGTGCATATCAGAATTTTGTACTGATTGAAATCTACATGTCTTTCAGCAGGTAGATGATTAAGACTGTGGTACACTGCAGCATAGGATACTATTTAGCACTGAATAGGAATGAACTGTTGATACATAGTACTTGTGGAAACACATATAATATGTATGAATCTCCAGAGAATTATGCTAAGTGAAAAATTTCAATGCATGCTTTTTGATTATTTATATACATTTTTTTTTTTCTTTTTAATGACAGAACTTTAGAAATGGGGGCCAGATTAGTGCTTGCCAGGAGTTAGGAATGTGAGGTTAGAGAGAGGTGGACATATTTATAAAAGGCAATAGGGAGATCTTTATGGTTATCCGACAGTTCAGTATTTAGACTCTGATTGTGATATTAGAACCTACAGATATAGTATGTGGTATAGAACTAAATACACACCTACAAACAGACTTACAGAAATGAGTGCATATAGAACTGGAAATCTGATAGGTAGATTTTTATCAATAACGTCCTGGTTGTGATATTATGCTGTAATTTTGCAAAGTGATACTGTTGGAGGGAACTGGATAAAGTGAACAAAGGAGCTCCTTTATTTTGTATAACTGAATGTGAATCTAAAATCAATGTATTTCTATAATCAGTATACTTGTTACTGAACTGACTGATAAGCTGTTAAATTAATGATATTGAGTCAAAAGTGTAGAATTTGTAGAGGTGTAGGTTGCTATTAGGACTTGTGACTGTAAAGTCATCATTAAAGAAGGTGCTTTTAGATAGGCAGAATTGATATTATCAAAATGGCCATACTTACAAAAGCACTATACAGATTTAATGCAATTCTGATCAAAATTCCAATGACATTCCTCATAGAAATAGAAAAGGCAAACATGAAATTCCTCTGGAAAAAGACCCAGAATGGCTAAATGAATCCTTAGCAGGAAGAGTGAAGCAGGTGGCATCACTATACCAGACCTTAAACTATACTACAGAGCAATAGTAACAGAAACAGCATCGTATTGGCACCAAAACAGACTGATAGACCAATGGTACAGAATAGAGGACACAGAGACTAACCCACAAAACTATAATTATCTTATATTAGACAAAGGTGCCAAGAATATGCATTGGAGAGAATATAGCCTCGTCAACAAATGGTGCTGGGAAAACTGGAAATCCATATGCAACAAAATAAAATTAAATCCCTATCTCTCACTATGCACAAAACTCAACTCAAAATGGGTCAAGGACTTAGGAATACAACCAGATACCTGTGTATAATAGAAGAAATAGTAGGCCCTAATCTTCCATCATGTGGGATTAGGCCCCAACTTCCTTAATAAGACTCCTATTGCACAAGAATTAAAACCAAGAATCAATAAATGTGATGGACTCAAACTAAAAAGTTTCTTCTCAGCCAAAGAAACAATCTGTGAGGTGAATAGAGAGCCTACATCCTGGGTACAAATTTTTACCCCTCACACATCAAATAGAGCACTAATCACTAGCAGATATAAAGAACTCAAAAAACTAGACACCAAAAAAACCAAATAACCCAATCAATATATGGACCAAGGACTTGAAGAGAACTTCTCAGAAGATGAGGTACAATCAATCAATAAACACATGAAAAAATGTTCATCATCACTAGCAATTAGAGAAATGCAAGTCAAAAGTATTCTAAGAGTTCATCTCACTCCTGTCAGAATGACAGCTATTATAAAGACAAACAACAGTAAGTGTTGGTGAGGATGTGGGAAAAAAGGTACATTCATACACTGCTGGTGTGGGACTGCAAATTGTTGCAGCCAATATGGAAAGCAGTATGGAGATTTCTTAGAAAATTGGTAACAGAACCACCATTTGACCCAGCTATCCCTCTCCCCGGTCTATACCCAAAGGACTTAAAAACAGCATACTACAGGGACACAGCCACATCAAGGTTTATAGCAGCACAATTCACAATAGCTAAATTGTGGAACCAACCTAGATGCCCTTCAGTAGATGAATGGATTAAAAAATGTGGCATATATACACAATGGAATATTACTCAGCAATAAAAGAGAATAAAATCATGGCATTTGCAGGTAAATGGATGCAGTTGGAGAAGATAATGCTTAGTGAAGTTAGCCAATCTCAAAAAAACAAATGGTGAATGTTTTCTTTCATGTAAGGTAACTGACTCATAGTGGGGTAGGGAGAGGGAGCATGGGAGGAATAGAGGAACTCTATATAGGGCAGAGGGTTGGGAGGGAAAGGGAGGGGACATGGGGTAATTAATGATGATTGAATATGATGATCATTATTATCCAAAGTACATGTATGAGGACACGAATTGGTATGAATATACTATGTATATAACTCGAAATATGAAAAATTGAGCTCTATATATGTAATAACACTTGTAATGCATTCTACTGTTATATATAAATTTTTAAAAAGTTAAAAAAAAAAGCATTTCAGGGCTGGGGATAATAATAGTTCAGTGGTAGATCTCTTGACTTGAATGTGCAAGGCCTTGAGTTTATTCCCTACCATCACATTTAAAAGAAGAAAAAAAGCATTTCAGGATTAATGGGATTCATTCAAAAAACTTTGTTATTGAAATACAGCTGTAGTCTAAAACAATTTTTAACAATTAATATTTAACAGGAATAAAATTGTTTATGTAACATGACATACTTTTTTTCATATTATAAAGAGAAGAGTTCACTTGAGGGAACTCTTGGACCCTTAAGTACTTTTTTTGTGTTCAAATAGTAAAAATATTTTTTCTAAGCTGAATGTGATGGTGCATACCTGTAATTCCAGTGACTCAACAGACTGAGGCAAAAGAATCACAAGTTTGAGGCCAGTCTCATCATCTTATTGAGATCCTGTCTCAAAATAAAAAAGACTGGGGATATGGCTTAGTGGTAAAGCACCTCTGAGTTTAGTCCCTAGTGCGAGAGTGGGTGAGTGGGGGCATGCATACACACACACACACACACACACACACACACACATGTTTTTCTATTAAATTAAATAATTGACATTTCTTGGTGATAAGATATGGATTTTCAAATAAATGGTAATGAATAATAAGTATCTTTCAGTAATGATACATTTTCCCTTTTTTTTTTTTTTAGCGTACCTGATATTAATACAGGGCAAGGCCAAAACATGCTGGAAATCTTACAAGACTGTTTTGAAGAAAAAAGTAAGACTTCATTTCTGGATAGACTTTGAGGGTTGGAATGAATGAAAATGTAAATTTGTCATGTTAATTAATATCAAATGCAGCAAATATATTCTAGTGTTTAAACTTATATAAAATATTTTCCTCAGAATTTTGAGTATATATACAATTTTTTTTGCAACTACTGGTATATTAAGTACAGTATTGATTTTTTTAAAAACACAGTAATTTGCAGTGATTTGTAATCTGGAATTCCACACATAATTATTATACACAAGACAAAGTATTTCATTTATGAGTTGAGCATCCCTAATGTGAAAATCCAAAATCTGACATGCTCCAAAATCTAAAATTTTGAGTGTGGACATGATGTTACAAGTGGAAATTTCCATATGAGGAATCTTTTATTTCATGCCCCAGATTATTAAGCATTATGTAAAATTACCTTCATAACAATGTATCAGGTATATATGAATCAAATAAATTTTGTGTTTATACCTGGGATCTTTCCCCAAGATCTCATGTATTCACAGATATTCCAAAATTTGAAATTATAAAATCCAAGTCACTTGTGGGCCTAAGCATTTTGGATAAAGAAAACTCTGATAGAAATAAATGTTCAGAAGTCTTGGGATCAGTAGAGTTTGAGATAATTTTTGCTAGTTTATATCCCTTTCTAAGTAGCAAATTATGGCAAAAAAAATTTAAGTGCTGATCAGCATCAGAAGGTATTCGAATAAGAAAGAAGGCCAACCAAGAAAATAATGAGTGTTTTAGCTAGCTTTTTTGCTGCTGTGACTAAAAGACCTGACAAGAACAATTTTAGGAAGGAAAAGTTTATTTGGAACTCATGATTGCAGAGATCTCAGTTCATAAACAGCTGGCTCTATATCTCAGTGCTTGAGGTACAGCAGAAAAACATGTCAAAGAGTATGTTGGAGGGAAATAGCTCACATAATGATCAGGAAGCAGAGAGAGACTTCACTTGCCAAATATATATACCCCAAAGCTATGCCTCCAATGACCATTTCCTTCAGTCACACCCTATCCACTTTCAGTTACCACTCAAGTTAATTCCATTAGAGGATTAATTGACTGATTGTGTTAAGGCTCTCATAACCCAATCATTTCTCCTGTGTATCTTGCATTGTCTCACACATGAGCTTATGGGGGACACCTCCCATCTAAACCATAATAATGAGAGATAGATGGTGGATGCTATGGTTGGATTATGTCCTCCCAAAAGTATGTGTTGGAAATTTAATCCCCAGTGCAACAACTTCAAGAGATGAGACTTTTGAGAGGTGATCAGACCATGAGGGCTTTGCCTTCTTGAATGGATTAAAACTTGTTACTAAAGGTCTTGAGGCATGAGTTTAATCTCTTGCTCTCTAGTTTGCTCATACTCTCCTGCCTTCTTCTGTTTTCTGCCTTGGGATGATATAGCAAGGCCCTTTCCAGATGCAGGCTTCTTAATATTGAACTTCCCAATCTTCAGTGCCATAAGAAATAAATCTGTTTTTTGTAAGTAACCTGGTCTCAGGAGTTCTGTTATTACAGCATAAAATAGACTAAGACATTGGAAATATGACTCCTGTATGAGCTCTGAAAAAAGAACTGGCACATACTTTCTGAGAAATCTTGTTTGCTGTTCTGTTTCTGATGTCTTTCAGAAACATTTGAATTTTAATGTCTGTACTACTTTTAGGTTGATTGTGTATAGAATTAACAGACAATTCTTCACATGTCATATAGAGCTACGTTGAATTGTAACCAATAGATATTGCATTTTGTTTTTAAAATTTCTCACTTTTCTTTTAGGTCTTACCAATGATTTTAGCATAAATTCTACAAAATCAGTGCGTTATTCGACACCCAGAGTGAAAGACAATTCTATTCATTCCCCAAGCAAAGAGGTAAGCCAAAAAAGGAGAACTGATACAGGTTAATTATTTTAATGAATGAAACTGCACAATGTACTTGTGTACCTTTCAGTTGTTTGTCTTATTTTGAAAAGAGAATGCTATATCCAAAGGACTTAACATTAGAATACTTTAGTGATGCAGCCACATCAATATTTATAGCAGCTCAGTTCACAATAGCTAAGCTTTGGAACCAACCTAGGTGCAACAGATCAATGGATAAAAGAAATGTGATATCCATGCACACAATGGAATATTATTTAGCTGTAAAGAAAAATGTAATTATGGCATTTGCCAGTGAATGAATGGAACTGGAGACTTTCATGCTAAATGAAATAAGCCAATCCCCCAAACCAAAGGCAGAATGTTCTCTCTGATATGCAGATGCTAATACACAATGTGAGGTGGAGGGAAGAATAGAAGTACTTTGGGTTAGACAGAAGGATTGTAGGGAAGGGAACGGGGTTGGGAATAGAAAAGACAGTAGAATGAATCAGACATAACTGTCCTATGTTCATACATGAATACACCACCAGTGTAACTCCAAATCACATACAACCACAAGAATGGAAAGTTATATTCCATGTATGTATAATATGTCAAAATACGTTCTACTGTCATAAAAAGAACAAATTAAAGAATAAAAAAATTAAGAGAGAATCCTGTATTCCCGTTCATTTTAAGAAGATAGGTTGATTTAACTATGCAATATATTATATTTTCTATTGAGATCTTTTTTCACTTTGTTTTTGCAGTTCCTGGGTTCATACCAAGTACTGCCCTGTGTATGCTAAGCACACACACCACTGAATTATAGTTTCCGCCCTAGTTATTTTATTTTATTTTTTTAAGTAAAACATGATATGACTCTTATTTTTAGCTTAAACATAACCTTGCTTCATAAATTTAATTATTTCTCTTTTCTGTTTTTTATGAGAATTTGAATAAGCAAAAATGATCTGTACCTTTAAATTTAGATCATTTGTAAAACAATTGGGGCTGTTTTGTTGGAGGTATTGGTGACCAATTTATTTAATGATTATCTGGAAATTTTCCTGCTTTTTGGCAGTTTTGGCTTTTTTATTTTTTTCTTAAAATGATCTGTTTCCTCTATTCTCAATTTTTTCTATAGTTAGTGTTCTTTTCTGATCCTTCTCATAAGGATCATACCTCTCTTTTTATTCAACATGTTGCTCATTTGTATCTTATGTTAATTCACTATTCTTCCTTCTCTTTTTACATATTTAAAAAAAATTTAGAAGAATAATTTTTATAATCAAAGGTATTATGTACATAGAAGTTAAAATAGCTCCATAAGGCTTGTATTATGAAAAACAGTAGACCCTACTTTTCCCCCAAAATTCTGCCTTGTTCACAACAGCTAAGCTCTGGAACCAACCTTTGACTCTTAGCTATTTCTTATGTCTATTTTGCCTCTGTTTTTAAATAATGCTTTGCCACTATATTGTGGTATTTATAGGCTGGAGATTACTTTCCCTTACATTTTTTTTAAAAAGACATTGCTTTATTATTTTTACTTTATTTATTTTATTTTTTAATCTTTTACAACAGTGCTGCTTTTTTTTTCAGCTTTTCCTGTTGTTAAGACTATTGTTTTGATTCCTTGATCCTTTGTGAGTGACTACTTTTTTTCCTTTTTGTAAGTTTTTAAGATCATGTCTTTTTTAGTGATCTAAAATTTTATTACATTAATTTCTTCTTGCAGTTTGTTTCCTATAAGTACTTTTTTTGGCTTGCTTTGCTCTTTGCCTTTTTTTTTTTTTTTAAGATCCTTTTGTCAAATGCTAGTGGTCTTTAGCCATCTCCTTTTATTTAAGAGTAGAAAACTAAAATGGATGAGAAGTTCTATATTCATAGTAAAATTTATAGATTGTTGGATTTGTGGATATCTAGGTATTAATATCTATAGTTTTTTTTCTCTTAGCCTGGTAAATTTTTGTGACAAAAGAAGCTTCTAATTGGGGATGTGATTCTGACGAGGAGTATTCTCAGCTCTGTTGACAAAGGGAAAGGTGCAGTTTTAATGCTCTTACCTAATATCTCTTGTTTTTAAGTACATTACCCTTACCTTTAACCATCTTATACCACTGAGTTCATAGTCTCTGATGCTGAAACTTAAAAGAGTAAATATCTAATCTGATATGGCTAGGAGGGAAGGGGCTCTTTGTGTTATTAATTTTCTGTGCTGGCTTTTAACAATGATGTTTGAGGGAACCACCTGCAATCCCTCTTTTAGAAGTGTGTTATACCTTTAATTAGTGTCTTTATGGACTTTTTCATAAGTATGAGGCTGTCTGCTTCTGGGCTTTCTCCATTGCTAGCATATTTTAGTTTTTTCTTGTCTTGAGTAGTTGCCACTAATCTGCTTTTCAACTTCAAAAATTTGTTGTTGATATCTCTTGTCCCTTCTTTTCCTCTTCGTCCCTCTGGGTTTATACATTTAATAAAAAAAAATTATTAGTAAGGTCTCAAGAGGGAGCAGAGTAAATGAAAGCCAGCCTTTGTTTCTTTGTGGAGTTGAGTTCAATATTGTATCTAGTGAACAGTAATACAGTGATCCCATTGTTATTTATTTCCCAGTTGGTCGATTGTTAGGTTGTTTCCATCTATTTATTATCTCAGTGATACAGTGAACATCTTTGTTTATACCTCCTTGTATACATAAATTGAATTCCTGAGGATATGCATATTTGAAATGAAATCATTGAATATTCATGGCTTGGAATATTTCTGTTTACAAAATAATGTGTAATGCTTGTAAGATTAAAAATAATATACATGAACTGACATATATACTCATCACTCGGTGTAAGAAATATGAATATCTTACAAGTATTAATACCTTTACTGATCCTATTTTTCTTCTCTGTATAGAGGTAACTACTATTTTGAATTTCATTTTCTTTTCCATTCTAGCACATATGTATGTATGCTGATATCTGTGTCAGCACTTCTACTGCCACTTGTGACAGATGTCTCACTACCATACAGAGTTATTAATGCTTCACTCATGAAGGACTCATGAGATTGGCATATAGTTGTCTTCATGACTGATTTGTTATAGCCATATAGTGAGGATACACAGCTGGGTCAGTAAGAGAAAGAGACATTAGGCAGACTGTAGAGGAATTCATGTGCAGGCTTTCTGTGCTCCTTAAAGGGGCCATGCATTCATTGCTACCAGTAGTGAAATGCAGTAATGTGTGTAGTCTTTCTACTCAGGAAAGGCTTTTGAAACAGCTTGTTTTTATTGGTGTCTTGTACCATAAACACTCTTCTTTCCACCAAAAAGTTCTATATTCTAGAGTACCTAGAAAGGAAACAGGTGTTTACCATAAATCACATAGTTTATGTAGATAGTCTAGTTAGGCTGCCATAGAATGGTTGGTAGGGGAGCGAATATTCTGAAAGCCAAGTCACCACATGCTATGTAGGAGCTAGGAAGCCCTGTAAGAAGACCCTTTAAATGTTCAGCTGTGTTAACTCTTTCCTGCATAGAGTGAATTCCTAAATATAGTATTTTCTATTTCCTTATATCTATCTGGACTTTACCTAATTGGGATTATGTAATTTTGCAACTTTGTAAAATTGTTTGTAAAACAATCATTTCTTCATTCAATTCATATTACTATGGTTTGTTTTACTGTTAGCATATGTAATATTAGATGAATATGCCATAATGTGTTCAGTACCAGAAGTTACTTTAGCATATTGTCTCTAACAACTGGTTTGTTGTTTTAAAATGTTTTTTTTTCCATTTTAAGAACAAATGTGTTTAATAAGAATTGATAATTTAATAAAGTAGATCTAATGTATTTCTTCTATGCTAGAAATCACATTCAAAGTCAGTTTCAGTTTCTTCAAGGAAGAAGGAAGCCCCTCTGCAAGACATTATAGAACCAAATGAAACTGCCCACAAATCAGGTTGGTTACATCCTTGTGGGTGTTATTGCCTAGATGTAATTTCTAGTTTCTAGTTTCTAAAAAGTTAGAAATGCCAACGGTGGAGCATGTGTTGGCTCAAGTGAAGAGGTCAGGGTCAGCCTTGGTAGAAATGAGTGTGGTGTTGTTTTTGGTATATTGTGTGTGTGTGTGTGTGTGTGTGTGTGTGTGTGAGAGAGAGAGAGAGAGAGAGAGAGAGAGAGAAACTGATGGATGTGTTTTTGAATCTCAAGTCATGATCAGTACTTTTTGTTTGTCTTCTTTTGTTTTTTTTTTCCTTTTGTTCCATATCCTTTATTCAGTGAACTTGCTACCATTAAGAATTGAACCCAGGGGCACTCCATCACTGAGCCACACATTCCCAGCCCTTTTTATTTTGTAGTTTGAGACATAGTCTCACTAAGTTACTCAGGTTAACCTAGGAGTTGTTATACTCTTATTTACCTCCTGAGTTGCTGGGATTACAGGTCTGTGCCACCTTTCCTGGCTAAGTTTTCTTTATCTTTATTTTTCAAATTAGAAGAGTACTCCATTTGAGGGAACAGAGTCAAAGATTTAAAAGAAAAATCTTATCATTACTCCATCATCCTGGTGAGGTAACCAACTTTTGAGAATCCATCCTTGCCTTTGTTGGTGCTCATAAGTAAAAAAATGTCTAAGCACATGTGTGGGTATGTGTCTATGTCTTTATGTTCTTTCTGAAGAGACTGTTAAAAATTTTCTTTCAATCCAACAATGTAAGAGTAATTTTTACCTGATAGACTATTATTCTAATATTTTGTAAGATTTTGATAGTTCTGTTGGTGTTAAGCAATTTCATTGTTACTTTAGTGTCCATTTCCATGATTGCCATTGAGTTTGAATATTTTTCCTTAAGTTTATTGGCTTTTGGAATATGATTTTATCAGATTATAATGAATTGTCTATGTCTGTTCATATCCTTTTCCTATTTTATTTCCAATTGAAATAAAATTTAACTCTTGAAACCATTTATCTTTGGCTGGGGGTTGGTGAAAAGTAATGCTGAGTTACCATAGGTATAGAGCTTTTATTGGATGATGAAAAAGTTCTAGATAATGGTAAAAGCTCCATATTGCTCTGAATGTGCTAATATCACAGAATTTTTGTGCTTATAGATGGCTAGAGTGGCGAATTCTAGTTATTTTATATTTTGCAGTGGAAAAAAAAACTTTAAAAAATGTTAGTCTGTCTCCTGCCTCCTCATCTACTTCACTGTTTAGTTTTAGCTTACCAAATTTCTTGTTAATTCTAGCTGTATTATAGTTTTTGCTCTGTTCTGAATAGAACTTAGTAATAAGGGGCTAATTATTTAAATACAGAAAAATTTTAATCTAACACCAAGATTTTTAAAAAATTAATTCCAAACATTAAGATATCCGAATCTGGATTTTAGGTTTTTTAAAGCCATTTGACTATGTCATCGAATAAGGAGAGGTATCTGTTATTTTATGTCTATTGTTCTTGGTGTAGTATTGACTTGTGAGACCTTTCCTCTTCAAATGTATGCATTTTGTATAAAGTTCTTTCTCAGCACTGCTGTAACCACATTTCTATAGATTTTGGTGTTTTCTATTGATTTCACTTATTTCTATATTTTTTAAATATCCTTTGGGACTTCCTTAACATACTGGTTATTTAGAAGTGCATTAATTTTTAAGAATTTGGAAAATTTTTTATTTTTTCCTAATTTCTAATCTTGATTCTTTTGTGGCACAGCCTGTACTATATGACTTTATTTCTTTAAAGTTTGTGAAAATTTATTTTATGACACAGGATGTTATCTGTCTTCATCAATGATTTGTAGACACTTGAAAACGTTTGCTCTTGTTGTACTATGAATGTCAGTTATCATGTGTGCATTACTGCTCTTTACATACCTGTTGTTGGGTGTGATTTGTTGAAATTTTTTTGAGGATTTTTGCATACAAGTTTATTGGAAATGTTGATCTATAGTTTTATTTTTTAAATGCTGTTTGTATGGTTTGGGTAGAAGGTAGTACTTGCCTTAAATGAATTGGAAATTATTTCCTTTTCTAAGAGAAACTGTCAAATGGGTATTAATTCATTGAATGTTCATTCTGTAATATTCTCCAATGAAATCACCAGATTGAGGAAATTTCTTTTTTAAGAGCTTCTAAACTACAAATTTAATTCTGTAATAGTTATAGGATTTTTTAGGTTATCTATTTCATGTTGGCTAAACTTTTATATTTTTGTAGATTTTAAGGAATTCATCAATTTCTTATAATTTTAATTTATGAGCTCAAGGTTGTTCATAGCATTATCCTATTATCTTTTCAGAGGCTATAGGATCTGTTGTGATATACCCTGTTTTCTTCCAGATGTTGATTCCTTTTTTTTTAATCTTTGTCAATTTTGATAGAGGTTTATCAATTTTATTAATTTTTTCCAAAGAACTATCTTTTTATTTCATTAATTTTTTGTATAGTTTTCCTGTTGTCAGTTTCATTGGCTTCTACTGTTTTTCTGTTCCTTTGCTTGGCTTGTGTTTGTCTTGCTCTTTTTTTCTACTTTTTGAGGTAAGAACTTTATTTTATACTTTGATTTATAGTCCAATAGCATTTATTAATTTTGTTATACAAATTGCGATAGCTTTGGCCATTATATACTCTTTCATTAGCTTGTGTGTACCTTTGCTATACCCCATTTTTGTTGTTGTTTTTGAGTACATTATTATTTTCTGGAGCTACAAGATGCTCCAGATTTATCTTAAGTATTTGCTGACTCTATTGTAGAGATATCCATTGCTTCAAGGAAGAATTTTTTTTTTTTTAAACTGATTTTTTTAAAAAAAACTGAATCTGAGTCTATACTGATGTCTCCAACTTGAATGAATTGTTGTGTGGATTATTCTGTATATTCCCATGTTTGTAAGTACCCATTCCATGAGTGAAAAGCCTGGCATACATCATTTACCATTCATTCATTTAGTTTTTAAATTTCTTTTACATATATAACCATATCATAATTGTTGACTCACACCCTATGGAAATCATTTTAATCAACCAAACTATAGAACTTATATAGTCACTGCCTTTGGTCTTGTAGATTGCACTCATTTCTAAATTTGCTTTGGTCAGTATTGCCGTCTACCCGGGATCGCGACCTGAGCTGGGTTCACAAGAGCTGGCTGCACCAATAACTTAAGAAAATGACGAAAGAAGCAAGCAACACACAGAAATATCTTTTGCTTGCAGGAATCAGGGATGTCTCTTGACTTTAAGGGTCCATTGAAAAAAGAGAGAGCGAGCCACCTGAAAATCCTCTATTTAATTGGGGAGAAAGACATTCAACCCAAATGAGAATAGAGATTGGGTTTCAGCGGGGTGTAGTCCAGTTTCATTGGGTGATGCCCACTCCCAGAGCATCATTCCCCTGCTGAGAGGAGGTGAGATCCACCTGTTTCAGCGCGCAGCAGAAACCAGTCTCTGTCGCTCAAGGCTAAGGGTCTGTGCTCACTTCTGTGTGGTAGCTCCCAACAGGTCAGCATCATTTTCCCCAGCCCACTTCAATGAGATTGTTTCTATATATCCTGTATTAAATATGGAATATGTAATATTATCAACTTCCAAGATTAGGTTATCAAAAGCTGTATGACTGTCTTGGGCTTGTTGGAGATATCAAAATCCCTATTTCTCTCTCTCTTTTCTCTTTTCACATTTGTCCTTTGTGGATGAAAGTCCATATGGTAAGAAATAGGCACCCAGCCTCTAGCCAGAATCAGGTATCAGACATTTAAGCAAGTTTTCAGATGATTCCTGGCCCCAGACTTAGGAGCATGATTCTAGGCCCTGTGGGAGCAGAGATAAGGTATACTTATTGGGCCTGCCAGATTTGTGGCCCATAGGCTCCATGAACCTAAGTGGTGATTTTATGTGACCATGTTATATAGAGTTATTTACTATGCAGATCTAATAACTAGAAAAACTTTTTCAACTTTCATACTATTATCAAATCTATTTTTATTTTTACTTATTTTTTAAAAAAATTGTTTTGCAGTACTGGGAATAGAACATAGGGTGTCTTACCCCTGGTTTACATTCCCAGTTTTTAAAATTTTTAAACTTTTAGACAAGGTCTTACTAAATAGTTAAGGTTGCACTCCTCCTGTCTGAGCCTCCCCAGTATCAGGAATTATAGGTGTGTACTTCCATGCCTGGCTATTTTTAATTTTTAAAAAATCTATTGTATTTTCTTGGTATCATTTTATATTTCTACAGGCAGTGATTATGGGTTCTAATTTCTTCACATTATCACTAATAGTTATTTTCTGTTTTGTTGTTTTTGTTTAATAACTGTCCTAATGGTGCATAGTAGTCTCTTATTGTGGTTTTGATTTGTTCAACATTATTGTCATTAGAGAGCTTTAAATTAAAACATTTCGATAGTTATGTTCATCTATAAAAAGGGCTAATTTTCAAAAAGCTAGTTTTTTTTGATAACTCTGGAGTTTCTGTCTTTTATTTCAGGAGCGTTGTAATTGTTAAAACATTTTATGGTATCTACTTTTAAATATCGTTAAATGATTCCAACATCTAATAGATCTCATCCATTTATTTTCTTGTTCAGATTATGTTTTATTCTGTTCTTTTTTATATGTTAATGATTCATTTTTATTGTATTTTGGATATTTGGGTTTTTAGGTTAGTAAATTTTTGATCACATTTAAGTCTGTTGTTATAACACATAGTTGACTTGTTTTGTTTTAATGTGTAGGTTTTTCCTTACTTGTGTGGTCTTTATTCCTAGCAGTGGTATTTTGTTCTGCTTCATTTTCTGATGATTTTAGAATTCTAGTTCAATTCATGTTCATGGGTTTAAAATGTCTCTGGGGTGGGTGTAAAGTACTTTCTTGAGCTTCCTGATGTCCTGTTATTCATGGTCGATTGCAGTCAGAAACTGCTAGGCTTGGGTCTCCTTATATGGGGTATGCTAGACTTTCTTAAATCTTTCTTAAATGTTGTTCTTCCCTCAGATTAAACTGTCTAACTGCCTTGGCTGTGAAGTGTGGTACACATTCAAATATTAACTTAGAATGTGAAGTAGGGGCTAGAAATAACAGAAGTTTCACTGTTCTGCAGTGTTTATGGGTCATACTTCTTGTCACCACTGATTGTTGGAATGAGACCTAAATTGATAGGGGCTTTCCTTCTCTACTGTTGTTCTATAGCACAGTCCATGGCTTTGTTGCTGTGCCACAGTAAACAGAATGGAGTACCCCTTGGACTATGTTGTAGAGGGTTGAGATTTCCCACTAGTCTCTGTTGTGTTTTCCTTATTCAGAGAATGTGAATTTCCTCTTTCCCCTTTTGCCTACTGTTGATCTGGGTTGCATGCCTCATCATGGCCCAGTCCAGAAGTGTGTGACAGATAAACAGGAAAACAAAAAGACTTACTGCATTGTCTGTTGTTCTTTAACCTGTTTTGTCCTATCTTCTCAGATCTGGAACACCTATAAAGACTTTAATATGTAATAGTAAATATATAATACCATGATGAGAATAATTATATGATTATGTTGTATTAATATTATTAATTAATATAATTATGTATGTAGTCTCTAGATTATGATTTCCAACCTATTTTAATGCACCTATGTCAATTTTGTTGAAATATTCACAGAATTGAAAGCTTGGGCCTTAATGGTTTAAGTCTTGAGATTGCTAGTTGAGTCTGCCTTCTTTCTCCCAGCTTTGAGAGTCCTATTATTGTTGATTGACGGAGAGTTTCTAATGAATTTAGGATACTTACAGGGAGAAACAAGTAAATGCTATCTCATTCCAGAACCAAAAGCCCTTTTTTTTTTTTTAAAGAGAGAGAGAGAGAGAGAATTTTAATATTTATTTTTTTTAGTTTTCGGCGGACACAACATCTTTTTTTGTATGTGGTGCTGAGGATCGAACCCGGGCCGCACGCATGCCAGGCGAGCGCGCTACCGCTTGAGCCACATCCCCAGCTCCCCAACAGCCCTTTTTGGTTGTACTTTAAGTTTTTAGGCTTTGTTTTTTATGGTATGAATTATTATGAATGCTACCCAGCCATTTTTTTTCCTTGATTTTTGAAGATTGAGGGTTAAGGAAGAATATACATATGTGTTTGTAAATTCATGTATATGTATATATAGATTAATAGATATATACATAGGCACCATCTTCATATGTACACACATAAATATGAATTGCTTTATACAAACTGTGTATCGTGTGTGTGTGTGTGTGTGTGTATGCTCTTTAATTGTCCTTGCTTACTAGCTTTTAGCTAAAGATAGAAGAATCTTTGTGATTACTCTAGGTTACTTTATTATTTTAGCTTTTCATAGATTTTTCATATTTTGAGATGTTATCAATAAACTTGTGAATTTTCTTTGAGTATTTCTGTCTTTTCAGAGCTTTAGATAACAAGTTTAGTTCATTAATTGATAATTAGAACTTTTAAAGTATTTTTGTATTTTAATCATGTCTTTGATTATGAATGTTCTGAAAACTTCTAATTAAAATATTGCACCTTTAATTCTAATACTATTTTAATGAACAAGAATCCTTGTATAATTTTCTTCTAGTACAGGGCCATGAAGTTCTTCAGAAAATCCTGGCAACTGATATTGTTTCTAGAAATACACCCGACTTGAAAAAAATGTCAAGTAAAAAACCAAGTGACCATCCTAGTGAAGCTGAGGAAGAATTTTACTTATCTGTTGGCTCACCTGCTGTTCTTTTGGATGCAAAAACATCTGTATCACAAAATACTAGTTCATCTCTTGCTCAAAAGAGAGAGACTTATACTTTTGGAAATTCGTTAAATATGCTGTCTTCAAGTACAGAGATTTCTCTTAAAACCAAAAAAAGGTAATCTTTATTTAAATAGTAGTAATCATGCTTTAAAAATTTTACTATTTGTAAATAGTATTTTACTATTAAATAGTGGTAATTCGGTCTTCAATGTAGTTTTGCAGTGATTATTAATGGGTTTTAACATGTCATGAGAAAAACAATATCTCTTTCTATATCTTCATTTTATGATTGATAAAGAAGACCTTAAAAGTTTACTTGAGAGAAGTGAGGAAGTAAACCTTTTTATAGTCTCCGGGAAAATTATTGTTCTGGTGTAAGTTTTCTATAACTTCCTAAAGAACAACCTATCCCTACTATATTATTTAAAATTGCAAATGTAGGTACATATTAGGTCATTTCTGGGCTAGGAAAGAGTATATGTTATTGTAGATGAATTGTAAATCTAGTTCCATTTCTTGGAGTCCCTTTGACCTTTAGGAAGAAAAGTAGGTTATTTAAGATCCTTTGTTATTGTAGGCTTTTACAATGAATCTAATATCTGATCTGTCTTATGTGTTTCCTGGAGCTAAGGAGTTAAGTCTTAATATTTTTGTCTGAATATTCTAAGACTTTACTATTTAAAGTGTAGTCTGTCACAGTACTCTGAGAACCAGTGTTCTAAGCTACACATTTTCTTGGTTAATAATTTAACCATTGTAAGGCTCAGTGCAAAATTTCATAAGTGGTCTGTACCAATACTGTAAGTTCAGTAAGACTCAAATAACAGAGTTTATGGGTGCACTTAGCTTGTTTTTCTCTTGCCCTTTTAGGTTAAACTTTGAAGATTTTATTTTAAAAAAAGTAGAAATAGAGAATAAAGTATCAGAAGTAGAGAATAAAATACCAGAAGGACAACAAGAAAGGAAGCCATCAGAAACATTTCAGAAAAGTGTACAGGATTTGGAACATGAAATTCAACCACAAACTAAAAAGAGCTTTTCAACATTGTTTTTAGAAACTGTAAAAAGAAAAAGTGAATTCAGGTGAGTTATTAAGAAACTGTCCTTTGAGACATTTTTTTTTTCCTTTTCTATTCTATGAACCATATCTTCAAATTCCTACTGTTCATTTATCTAGAAATAAATCATTTAATTGGTTAAAATTTTATTTTTATTTTTTGAGATGGGGTCTTGTTACATTGCTTAGACTGGCCCCAAACTCAGGATTCTCCTGCCTTAGCCACCCAGGTTGCTAATTAATGCAAATTTTTATTGAAATTTTGCCTGCTCTATAGAGGTAATTTTTTCATTTTTTAAAAAATGTATTTTTTAGTTGTAGTTGGACACAGTATCTTTATTTTATTTATTTTTATGTGGTGCTAAGGATTGAACCCAGGACCTCACAAATGCTAGGCAAGGGCTCTACCGCTGAGCCACAATCCCAGCACCAATTTTTTCATTTTTTAAACCAGTAAATCACTCCCCAAACCATTCTTTAATAGACACTAAATTAGATATGAAAAAATAAATGAGTTTATTCAGTTCTCATTGCTCTGGCTCATCATTTTTTCTGGTTTGTGATATCAAAAAATGAAGACAGTCTTTATAAATAGAATTATATAAGACTACTTGTATTTCACTATTTCAGGTTTTAAATCTTTTTTCTATTTCTTCTGTGTCAGTAAAATGATAGTCCTAAAATAAATTTAATGTGTTCATTTCTATTTAACCCACTAAGTCCCAACTTTTAAATTCTTCAGATATTTCAATGAAATTGACACAGGTGCATTAAAAGGGTTTGGAAATCATAATCTAGAGCTTATATTGCTACATTAATGTTAATATTATTATTAACATTATTATTATATAATAATGTTATATCATTGCATTATATACTGTATACTATATTTAAGTCTTCATAGGTATTCCACATCTGGGACAATGGGGAAAAATGGATCAAAGACCTTCCTTGGTTTTGAAATATCTGTGTAGTGATTTTAACCCTGGCTTCACATTTATATAAATAATGTCAGTCAGGATTGAGAAGTATTGGTCCATAGAACAAATTTCAGCTGGTATTTCACCCTCCCTAATTATCTGTTTTTATCTTCTTGGTCTTATATATTTGCATATGTATTTGCTTTGCCATAGCTTTTTCCTTTTTCATCTGCTAATTGCTGTTTCTTTTTAAGGTCTGTACTAGACTTCTACATTTTTAAAGTTTTACTTTATTGTTTTGTTTTGTTTAGATAGTTGCTTGCTTCATATTATAGTTTTACAATTTTAGGTATGTATTTTTAGTTAAGATTTAAGTCTCCCATTCCAGGAGTTTAGAGTTCTTTTATATTTTCTGTTCAGTCTATTAGAGTACTTATCAACATATTAGGATGTTTTTTATAAAAACATGTTGAATCAATAAATGAAATTCCCATTTTGTTCAGTCTCTGTTCCCATAATTAATTTCCGAGTTACACACACACACACACACACAAAATCACTTATATGCATGTGTTCCCCACCAATTGAGACAAATATGTTACACTTGGGGTTAGTTATAGCGTTTGAAAGGGTAATTGTGTGTTTTTTAATGTCCTTTTTGATAAACTAGTAAATAAAGGTAGTTTACTTGCTAGAGCCAAATGTAGCAAGTCATTATTTCCTGTGCTTTCTAGTATCACTGCTTTTACTTATGGTCTTCCTTCTGTTTGTGTTTCTTGCATTTCCTCATGACCAACTTCTTGCAGCTCAAAGGCCGCAAAGTCTTTCTCACTTAGTCAGAAGTAATCGTGGCCTATTCTTTCTCACTTAGTCAGAAGTAATCGTGGCCTATTCTGAATTTTAATAGTGTCAAAGTTGTTTCCTAAGGGTATCTTTGGTTTGAATAACTGACTAGATGGAAATCCCTTGAAGTAGAAGGGGAACAAATTTGGCAGTTCTTAATCGGCTAGTTGGAAAGACTTCATTTAAAAATTCTTAGCTTTACCTCTTTATATACAAAAACTAATAGATGTTACAAATAATATACTATAAATCTAATTGTATTTATTTGTAACAGTTTGATTATTTACTTAAAAGTAGGAAAAACAATATATCCATTGGGCATTCAGTCATTGTGGTCTTTTATTCGTGTTTTTTATATATATATATATTTTTAATTTGTTGCTAACATAAATGCGATTTTCTTTTTTTAATTTTTTTTGTTCTTTTTAGTTATACATGACAGTAGAATGTATTTTGACATATCATACATACATGGAGTGTAACTCCCTGTTATAGTAAGCTTTTTCACCACTGTGACTAAAAGACCCAACCAGAACAAGTGTAGAGGAGAAAAAGTTTATCTCAGGGCTCATGTTTTCAGAGGTCTTAGTCCATAGAAGTCCTGCTCCATTCCTGAAAGCTGGGTGAGGCAGGACATCATGGTGGAAGAGTGTGGCAGAGGGAAGCAACTCACATGATGGTCAGGAAACAGAAAGAGAGATCTCCACTTGCCAGATACAAACATATACCCCAAACCCATGCCCCCAATCCTCACATCTTCCCTTCTATTTCAGTTACCACTCAATTAATCCCTGTTGGGCGATTAATTCACTGATTGGGTTAAGAGTCACAACCCAGTCATTTCTCCTGAACCTTCTTACATTGTCTCACACATGAGCCTTTTGGGGACACCTCACATCTAAACCATGATACTTCCCATTTTTGTGATTGTACATGATGTAGAGTTACACTAGTGGTGTATTCATATATTAGCTTAGGAAAATTATGTCCCATTCATTCTACTGTCTTTCCCATCTCCATCCCCCTCCCTTCTCTTCACTCACTCCTCCCTGTCCAATCTGGTACTCCCCCCACACCCCCATTGTGAGTCATCATCTGCATATTGGAGAGAACATTTGGCCTTCAGGTTTTGGGATTGGCTTACTTCACTTATCATGATAGTCTCCAGTTCCATCCATGTACTGGCAAATGCCATAATGTAATTTTCTTTGTGGCTGAGTGACATTGCATTGTGTACATGTACTACTGTGTTAGTTTTTACACAGTTTTCTAATTACATAAATCTGTAAAACTCTACTACCAGCAGACAGTGTATTAACATTCTCTGTTTTATAAGATTTATTAGGAGTATGAGATTAGAAGAGTAGAGAAGGAATTTTATCTTAGAATCCTCTAATAAAAAGGGAAAGAAAGGTAATCTTTTTTTTTTCTATTCTACCTTTGCTTCTGCTTTGACTAAACATTAAGGAAGCATCCTTATCCAATTGAAAAAGGCGGAAACCAGGAGTGTATATGCCAGCTTTGGAGTTTCGAAATTTATCCTAAGTTTTGATTTTGCATATCTCATTAAAGCCTGTGGTTTACTCAAGTCTGTTACCATAAAAGCAGGGAAATGTAAGATGAATCCATCAGCTTACTATCCTTTGAATAATTAGATTGTATTAGAGTTAATATTAGATTGTAGATTGTACTTAATGTTAGATTGGGATTGTAGTTAACAATTTTCAAATTGTTTTGTTATCCCTTTATAGCACTAAATGTGGGAAATAATAAGTTAGGTTGGGATGTGGAAAAAGAGGGCTAGAATATGCAAACATGATTAGATTCCATTTGTGCTTATGCTACCTTTAAATATCATCCAATTATGATTATAGTATTGAAATGTATGTGAACATGTGTGAAATATTCAAACTTGGAATGAATTTTTACATTATATTTGGTGGTTCTATGTATGAAGTCCTTTGGGATATGAAAAAATTAGAAGAAATTAGTCCCTTGTAATTTAGTAGAGTTCAATTAAAATATTAGATTTGGAGGTTTCTCAGAAATAATACTGTCAATATGAAGAAATTCAGACCCCAAAAGGCATCTGTTTAACTTATAATTTAATAAAATATTATGTGTGTTTCTGTGTGTGTGTGTGTGTGTTTATGTATACACACACTATCATCCATTTTGGATTATAAGTTAATGTTTCTGGGTTATGATTTCTCATCTGGGTTTCATTTTTTAGTTTATATTGGGGGGCATCAAATTAGTTGCCATCTCTAAATTTTTATGATCCTGTTAGTGACATAAATGAGAGTGATCATTTAAAAGGAAGGATTTATAAAATTAAGGGAAAATTGAGAAGTATGAACTGCTCTTTTAACAGATATGTAGATTTTATTTCTTATATAATTTTTTTCAGTAAACAAAGATAAAACTTCATTTTTTTAAGCTGTTAAAATAATAATCCTGTTTTAGTCCCATTGTTAAGCATATAGTGACTGCTCCACCTCATTCATCTCCTCCAAATGATATGAAGTTGTTAGAAGATGAATTTGTAATTGATGAGTCAGATAGAAGTTTTGCCAGTGGATCTTGGATTACAATACCAAGAAAGGGTGGATCTCTGAAACAACCCACAATATCCCCTGCTGAGAGCACTGCAGTCCTTCAAGGTAAGAAGGCAAGAGAAAAACATCGCAGTGTATTACCTAACACTTTGAAAAGTGACCAGCATTTGCATAAAGCTCACCCAGAACAGAAATTTCAACCCTGTGATGAAAAAAAAGTGGATACAAGTTCTTCTTTGACAGATGAATTGGAAAATATTGATAGATCTACAAAATATGAAATCTCTTCTGAAAATGCCAAAAAACCATCTGAAAACAAAACGCCAATAAAACAAAATCAGAGAAGAAAATTTAAGGCCAACGTAGTTAAAAAACAGCTTGATCTGGAACAGTCTAAAGATAAAAATGTAAATATGTCACACTCTGCTCAAGACAAGTTGCAAAAAAATTTAGACAGAAATGGAGAAGATTGTGAAGGGACGAGAAATGATAATATATTCAAAACACCTACACTACCTGTGGGTAAGTATTTACGTTGAATATTAACTGAATATTATTTTATAATTTACATTTTTAACATCCCTGTGTAGCTTTGGGAAGTAGGCAAAGTAAACCTAAATCTACAGAGAGTTTCAAAATTCTATAGGTTCATTTTTAGAATCAGTTTATGTTATGTATAATTTAATTTCAACTTTAATTTTTGTTTAGTTTCTAAGATCCCATCACATATAGAGGGAAGAATAAAAGGCAAAGATTAGTTTTTAAAACACAAGTGAAACAGAATCAAATTCTTAAGAGTATTAAAATATAAATGGGGTAAAACCTATTATACCCAATATACCCACTGTATATCAGTATAGCTACATACATGCTCTTCTATCATTCACTAATTTATGTTATTAAGTGCCAGACAGTTTTGGTATGAAAATCAAAAAGATTACTGAAACATAATTTCTACTGTTAACAGTATCATTTTAGTGGGGTCTGTAGACCAATAGATAAATGTACTTACATGTACAAAATGAACGTGGAGGCACAAAAAACAATTATCTAACCAAGATCACAGTAGATATTTGTATCTTAGGTGGTCCTATAATTTATCATCCTAATGAGGCTACTTTTATGAATGAGAATGTCAGGACAATAAGTATAAACTGGAATTGTCCTATACTTAGAGTGTGGCTGCTCTCCTTAATATATCATCATTGTTTAGTGATTGGGATTTGTAGTTACATTTAGTCATGAAGAAAAGGTCAGTTTATAGTCTTCTTCTTCTTTTTTATTTTTTTAATAGAGGATAATGAAATCAAGGGCATTTTTTAAAAATATTTTTTTAGTTATCAGTGGACCTTTATTTATATGCAGTGCTGAGAATTGAACCCAGTGCCTCACATGCTAGGCAAGCGCTTTACCACAGAGCCACAACTCCAGCCCCTCAGTTTATGTTCTTTGTAACACTTTCAGTTAATAGAAAAGGGGTCATAGAATTGAATTCTCTTAAGAACAGTTAATGGAAGAAAAAACACTAGCAAATTTATTGGGCACCTTTATAAATGTATATAATGTAATTTAATCCTTCTTGACAATCTTGTAAAGGAGGAAGTAACACTGAAAAAAGATTAAAATAAATCTTGTCCAGGATCTGTCCTACCATACAGCTCCTATTTTTTCAGTTCTGCTAAGAAATTTTTTAAAATGTGAAGATATTTTCAATGCTCAGTGGAAAAAATAGCTAACCAGAAAATGCTGTTGACTAACCAGAATTGTGTATGTACCTGAAAATTCTAGATGACTACATGATATTGCAAATACAGAGGTGAGAAAGAGTATATTAGAATATAATATTAAAGGTTATTTTTTGGGCTGGGGATGTGGCTCAATCGGTAGTGCGCTCACCTGGCATGCGTGCGGCTGGGTTCAATCCTCAGCACCACATACAAACAAAGATATTGTGTCCGCCGAAAACTAAAAAATAAATATTAAAAAAATTATCTCTCTCTCTCTCTCAAAAAAAAGGTTATTTTTGTTAAAAAAATCCAGTTTAATAAGGTTATCAATGAATTATTTAATTTTTGTGCTCTTTTGGTATACTCTGTAAGATAGACTGTATATTACCCAAAGTAGTAGTTTACAAGTTTTGTCTGTTTGCCTTTCTTTATTCTGCTTGAAGTAGAGGTGGAAAAAACTACCTTTTCTATTTTGAGGACCCCTTTTGTAAATGTTGGCCATGTCCTATATTCTTTTTATCATATTTGTTCTTTATTTTTAAAATTTCCTTTAGTTTCTAATAATTTGTTGGCCTTTTTAAGAATCTGACTAATCTAACGGTGATATTATAAGAAAGTTTTTATCTTAACTATTCCCTTAAGCAGAATATGATTTTACAAAATTTTAAAGTAGAGAATTTTGATCAATCCATGATTTCTTAAGAGAAGACAATAAATGAAGGATGTATACTTGAAGAATGGTTCCTGTAGTTGAAATATTATACATTTATTGAGTACCTATACACTTTAACACGTTGTCCTGTCTAGATTGTTCTGTGAATATGATGTTCTGTTTAATCATTATACCAGTTGTAATTTTCTCCACCGCCCCCCCCATTCTTCCTGTCCAATCCAGTGAACCTCCCCTTCATTCTTTTTTATGGCTGAGAAATATTCCATTGTGATATGTACTACATTTTCTTTATCCTTTCATCTGTTGAAGGGTTCCATAGTTTAGTTATTGTGAATTTTCTGTTTTAAAAAATTACCATACACTTAGTATCTTAAAACAACACATATTTAATAACTTATAGTACTATAGGTCAGAAGTTTCACTGGGCTAAAACCAATGTGTTGGTGGAACTGTATTTCCTTCTGGTGACTTTGCAAGAATATCTGTTCCCTTGCCTTTTCTTCTTGAAACGTATATTCCTTGGCTCATGATCCTCCTCCATCATCAAAACCAGCAATGCCAGACTTGTTATGTTTTGAATTTTTCTTGCCTCTTCTGTCATCCTGTATCTGACTACAGATTAAATGACACATGCAGTTTTAACTATGCATAAATTTGGCCAATCTGAATAGTCCAAAATAATTTATTTTCAAGGCTTATAATTTAAAATCTTCCAAAAAATAGATTGTAAAAAATCATTAATTATTTCAAAATGAAAAACAGTAGTTACCTATTTTAACTTGATTTTAACTTGGTAAGTGGTAAGAAGGAACAATATATTTTTTTCCTTTTGTAAGCTAATTTATATTTTAGTTTAGTAGTATATCAGAATTATCAAGCCATATGAAAGCTTGCATTTAATCAGAAAGTTAGAAATCTTAAAAACATGTAAATTTTAAAAACTTGAGATGAAGTCTATAGGCTCAATTTAGTAAGTTCTATTTTTTTTTTTTTTTTTATTTTAGGAGATAAGAAAATAAATAGAGGCACCAAAAACAATAAGGAAGAATCTAGAAAGAAGCATTTTTCAAGTGAGTCCAAGAAGAATAAACTTGTATCCGAAGAAGTGACTATTGCTGTCATGAGAAGTCATAGGATTTCCAGGCGTCCATCTGATTGGTGGGTGGTAAAATCAGATGAAAGTAAGTATTTTTATTTAAATTATATTCATTAAGAGGTACTAAAAAATTACTGTGTAAGGGGTTTTTTGTTTGATTTATACTCCTATTATATAGAAAAAAATCTTGAGGACATAATTTAATTGGGTCATCGATAGACATTTTGTTTAAATCAATTATGCAGAAATTCCTAGGTAAAAAAATAAATAAATAGATAGATAGATAGATAGATAGATAGATAGATAAAAATGGGCTGGGGATGTGGCTCAAGCGGTAGCGCGCTCACCTGGCATGCGTGCGGCCCGGGTTCGATCCTCAGTACCACATACAAACAAAGATGTTGTGTCTGCTGAAAACTAAAAAATAAATATTAAAAAAAAAAAAAAGAAATTCCTAGGTGTAGGGAAATAGCTGTGGAAAAACAAAGCCATGAACAAAGTCCCTTGCTCATGTAGTTTACATTCTAGAGGGACAATACAGATAAGTATTTCATACACTGATAGATGAGAAGGACAAACAAAGCAGATAATGTATGGACATGGAAAGGAGGTTATAGGAATGGAAGTGAACAAAAGGATAGAGTGTGATACTAGTTTATAATGGTAGTATAAGAGGCTATTATGATCTTTCAGAGCCCATATATGAGTAGAGGGAGGGAGCCATACAAATAACTAGATGTAGAGTATATCAAATCAAGGGAACAGTAATTGTAATTCCTGGTGGGGCATACTTGCCTTGTCTCAGGAAAATTAAGAGAGCGAGTGTGGCTGGAGCTGAGTGAGCTAGGGAAGATAAATTTGGACAGTCAGGCCATGATAGAGAGGTTAGATAAAATATATCGAGAAACTACTTGAAGATTTAAAAAATAAAGTGGATGTGTAACCAATGTGAATCTGCAATATGTATATGGGGTAAAAATGGGAGTTCATAATCTGCTTGAATCAAATGTATGAAATATGATATGTCAAAAAATAAAATAAAATAAAATAAAATTCACATGTGAAAAAAAATAAAAGTGGGTGGGGAATAAAAATAAAAAAATAAAGTGACACAGTTGACTCATCTTTTAAAAGGATCATTTTTACTGCTCAGGAGAGAGGAAACCAGGACTAAGCAAAAATGGAAACCTGGTGTGACTAGTTTTAGGAGGATGGTGAAGGGAGGAGATGGAAATTGTTAGATTCAGGATATTTTGTGAAGATAACACTAAGGAAATATAAATGGATTGGAGTGAGAGAAATAGCTACTGTTTACTGAGATGAGGAAAGGAATGAGAGAAAAAAAATTTCAAAGGATTTTAAGATTTCAGGTTTTCGTATGTTAATTTTGAGGTGTTATTAGATATCAAAATAGTATATTCAGGATATATTTAGATCAATAAGTGCGAGAATAGTACAGATAAGGTACAACATCTGTGAAGACTTGTTACTATGAATTATTGACTCATAAGAACTTCTATTGAATTATTGGTAATACAAATGAGACATTATCATAGAAAACTTATGGAGACACTTGGCCTCAGAGTTACGTCAGTTCAAGCTCTTACTTGCATGACCCCAAAGTGGTTACCTTCTTTAATTTTCTGCCTGAGTACAGTATTTCTTTATGATAGTGTACCCCATTGGTATACATTAGGAGTACAAAAGTAGGTAAAATATAGTCAATTCCTTGATCTCCAGGAATTATCAGTCTGCTGGAGGAGAGGGATAGAGAAAAGTAAACAGTCAGATATGTAATAAATATTATCAAATGATTAAGAGATAGTTATACTAAGACTTGGGAATTAGTGAAAGCTTCCTGAAGAATGAATTAGAAGTCAGCTAGTTGGATGGTGTGAGAAGGAACGATGTCATTTTTGAACAGACATAGCTTGTGCAGGGATCTGGAGCTGAGGGGTTGACTTTTTTGTTTGTTTGTTTAGTGTGTCTCAGAATAATCTAAAAGGCTTATTAAAACATTTCTGGGCCCTGTTTTGCAAGTTGGTTTGTGTTGATTGAAGCTAGAGCATGAGAATTTGCATTTCAGACAAATTCCCAGATGATGCTGATCTTATGATATAAAGACCACATTTTAAGAACAAATACTTTAGAGAAACTACAGATATTTCTGTACTGCTGGTTTTATTTGTTTGAAAGGACATGGTTGAGAGTTGTAGGTTGTGAAGTAAACAAAATCTAGATGTAGAAATAAATTGATGTTAAAGTATTTAGACTTAATCCTGAAGCTGTAGATACTCACTGTAAGATTTTACATTTTGTTTCTTTGAGACAGGTTGTCCCTTTGTTGCTTAGACTGGTCTACAACTCATGAGCTTAAGTGATCTTCTTGAGAGGCTGAGGCTATAGGTGTGTGCCACCATGCACAGCCTCTTACTAAAGGATTTTAAACAGGGTTATAACAATCCTATTTATGTTTTCCAAAGATAATTTTAAATCAATATAAAGATTGGGTTGAATAACAAGGGTACAAAAGGGAAAAACTGTTAAAGAGCTGTTTTATTAATCTAGAAATGAAAGGGCAAGGGCTCTGCTAATGACAGGCAGGACAGCATGAAAGAAGCACATTTGAGAACTATGGAGTGGCACTTGTAACAACACATCCCATCATTATGTATAACTATAATGCACTGATTTTTAAAAAATGGAAAAAAAATAAAAAGGGGTAGGACTGATGGGTTTTAGGGATTGATTGTGGGTAAGGGCAAGATGACTCTGATTTTTTATTTAGGCATCTGGATAGTTATACTTATCATAAATATAGGAATAAAATGAGAAAAAGATTTAAGGATGAGTGGTAGATGTATATTATTCGTGTCATCATATAGGTATCAATTCAAGCTATGGATAGATTAGGTCCCCCAAAGAAAGTACATAGAGTAAAAAGTTATAGGTGGAACCTTGGGAAATACCAGAATCTTAAGGATTATCAGAGAGTACTAGGTAAATACAGTGAGAAGGTTATTTGGTAAGCTTGTGATGCATTTAAAGGATCTGGTGCATGTCTTTCTAAATTGAATTTAAATAATTTTTAAAGGGGGGAATAGGAAGGGTAGCAGAATACAATAGACACTAATATGGCTGTATGTATAAACGTGGCCGTGAAACCAATGTGATACTGCAAGCTGTACACGTGGAAAAAAAAGAATTCATACCCCACTTGAATCAAATGTATGATATGTCAAGATCATTGTAATGTTTTGAGCAACTAATAAAAAAAATTTAAAAAAAAAGAATTTTTAAAGAATTTAATGTGGAAACAAATTTACCCTGAGACTAGTCTGTGTGTATGTGTTTATATATAAATATGAATGACATTGGCATTTTAGTGAGCCAAATCATCTGGACAAACACGATAACTTTAAATTTTCATTGAATCTTTCAGGTCCTGTTCATAGCAATTCTTCAATAAAAAATGAATTATCAGTGTATCACAACCCTAGACAAAAATCTGCTAAGAAAACAAATCAGCCATCTAGGAATACTGGGAAAAAAGCCATTCCATTAAAAAAGCAGAAGACAGCTATGCAAGGCAGCTCAAGAGTACAGAAATTTTTAAATGTTAAAGGTTCTGAGTTTATTAGCAACCATGAAAAACTTCCCAGTTGTTCCCAGAATGAGCCATCAGAAAGTGACAAAGCTGACCTGGCTGCGAAGAAAAGTCTTGATTGTTCTGGGTAATGTCTGTTATGTTTACAATATAGTTATTGTTCCACATTTAATATTTTGTCTATGTTATTTAACCATTTATAGAAAGAGCGTATCAACCTAAAGGACTCCATACTCTGACAGATCTGGTATTAAATCTAGGCTCTGCCTTTAGCAGAGCAAAGTAGTAATCTGATCTTGTTTCCTCATATTAATATAGGTAATAATAATAGCACATAGGATTGTGAATGTTAGATCTAATGAATTATTATTTTTGCCTGAGTTGCTAATTTTTTAAAAATAATGACAAAAGATGCACAATAAAATTATTGTCTTAATCACTTTGAAGTACATAGTTTTTGTTTTGTTTTTTTACCTTTTAAAGTGAGATGAATGTGATGTCAGTTTGAAACATGTCAGTAATTTTCCTTTTAATATAATAGTTAACATTTTTGGAGTACCTACTAAGTACTAAATGATTTTTAATAAATTCTGTTGAACTAATTCTGTTTTTATAAATTCTTGCTTTTTGCTGTAGCATGCATTCAACGAATATTTAATGCATACAGTATTAGAAACAGCAAGGTGGGGCTAGGGTTGTGGCTCAGAGGTAGAGCATTTGCCTAGCATGTGTGAGGCGCTGGGTTCGATCCTCAGCACCACATTAAAAAAAAAAAAAAAGTATTAAAAAATAAAGGAAAGAAAGAAACAGCAAGGCACTGGCGGTTAATTGGGGGAAATAAATGATTAGAATGGCCTAAAATATATTTTGAGTATGTCATTAGTGTATATAAAAAAAGATCCCATATATATTCCCAAGTTTAATTTCTTCAGATTATTTTTTAAAGATTAAAATTTTAAAGAAATTAATTTCTTCAGATTATTTTTTTAAAGAAATCTTGCTAGATTTGGTTTCATCAAAGTTCTTGTTGGTATATAGTTGTTCATAGTATTCTCTTACAGTTGCATTTTTTTTTTTTTGACTCTGATGGTAGGACTCCAGAAATAAAATTTCAAAAGGAATAGAGTTGTTTGCATATATTTGGGGTAAATTGATCAGCTGGAAGCTACCAATGACATGAGCTTTGTCCCTCTGAGGACCCTACTGCTGACCTAGTGTATCAAAGAAAATTACTTAAGTTGCTTATGGTTTCTCCAGTAAACTGATATTAGACTAATTCTAGAATATACATTATAAGCTACCTATAGGTAATATCTTCTCATGTCCTTCTGTCATTTGCTCCCATCCTAGTTAGACCAGGTTTGCACTAGTTCTCTCATTGGAATTTTTCGAATTGGAAATCTTGATAGGTTCTAGAATCAGTTTTTTACCTGAGCCAGTTGTAGGTCTTAGGGCCTGAACATGGTGAGCTGATATTTGTTATAGCCAACATTACATTGTTTATATACCCACTATATATTGTTTCTGGTAGAAATATTTTTTGAAGATGTATGAACAGTTTTAAACTTCATTTTTGTAGAACTACAGAGCGCTCCAAGAATCAATGTGGTGTTACAACTGCACAAAATGTTCGTTTAAAGTCTCATACCAGTGACCATACTTGCAAGACACCAACAGAGTCTAATTTGGATTCTGGAAAGTGTAAAACTTCAGTTTTGGAAGAAAGGTATGCATGTATTCTAAGATTAATAAGTTTTACTTATTTATATTAGGTACCCATTGCTATGTAACCAGTTACCTCAAAACTTAATTTTGTTATAGGCTGATAAGCTTAAAAGGTTATGAAAAACAGCTATGGCAGTTTTAGGAGAAAAATGATAAGTAAGCTTAAATACATTAAATATATGTATTATAAAAACATGGATTTTTATGGTTTATTTATTTTTTCTTAAGTGGACCATCCAGGATCAAGAACTATTTAATGTTTGGGAAGAATAATTCTGATGTGTGTGATGAAGAAGTTCAGGAAAGGTTAGGTAAGTTATTGTTTATTTCTACTGTATTGATTTTTATGGAATTATATATATATATATTATAAGGTATGATGTGTTTTATTTAGTTAAACTTGCACTGATGGGAAATATGTATTGAGACTTACAATATATTTAGAGATTTGTAAGAGGCTAATAAAATGTTGGCATGTAAGGTATCTATTCCATTGTTGACAAGGGGACACGTGACGCAAAATTAACTATCTATTGGTGGTTGCTGAAGCTGGGTGAGGATGTTTGAGGTTCATACTGTTTTCCTCTTTTTTGAATAGTTCTGAAATTTTTCATATAGGTTTTTTAAATACTTTATTTTAAAAAAATTGGTTCTTTTTAGTTATACATGACAGTAGAATCCATTTTGACATAATCGTATAAGCATAGAATATATTTTGTTCTAGTTCAGACCCCATTACACTTTTTCCCCTTCCCTCTTGCCACCTCCTGCTTCCCGTCTCTATTGATCTTTCTGCCATTTACCATATTTATTTTTTAAATTACTTTCTAGTGGATTTACACCACGAGATTTACTGTGATATATTGATATATGTACATAGGAGGGTTGTGTCGGATTCATTCCACTGCCATTCCTTTTCCTATCTTCCTGAACTTCTATCACCACCCCCCTGCCTTGTTGTGGGTTAGCTTCCACATATTAGAGAAAACATTTGACTTTTGGTTTTTTGGAATTGGCTTATTTTATTTAGCATGACAATCTTCACATTCATCCATTTACCAGCAAATGATATAAACTCATTCTTCTTTATGGCTGAGTGATATTCTATTGTTCCTGTATACTACATTTTTTTTTTATTCATTCATCTGTTGAAGGGCCCCTAGTTTGCCTTTTTAGCTTAGCTATTGTGAATTGTGCTAATTGTGGGTCTTTGATCCATTTTGAGTTAAGTTTTGTGCAGGGTGAGGGGGGGGTTAAATTTTGTTTTTCTACATATGAATTTCCAGTTTTCCTAGCACCATTTGTTTAAGAGGCTATCTTTTCTCCAATGTACATTGTTGGCAACTTGTCTAGTTTGAGATGGATGTATTTATGTGTGTTTGTCTCTCTGTTTTCGTGTTCCATTGGTCTTCCCGAGTATTTTATTTTTTGAGGCTATTTTGAATGGAATAGTTTTCCTAATTTCTTTTTTCAGCTGATTTATCATTGGAGTTTAGCAATGTGATTGATTTAGGAGTGTTTATTTTATGTACTGCTACTTTGCTGAATTCATTAATGTGTTCTACAACAGTTCTGCTGGAGTGTTTTGGGTCTTCTAAATATAGTTTTATGTTGTTGGTAAACAGTTTGAGCTCTACTTTTCCTATTTGCATCCCTTTAATTTTTTCTTTCCCCTAATTGCTCTGGCTAGAGTTTCAAGGACTATGTTGAATAGAAATGGTAGAAAAAGGAGGGCATCCCTGTCTTATTCCTGTTTTTAGATTGAATGCTTTCAGTTTTTCTTTATTCACAATGATGTTAGCCTTGGGTTTTATATAGCTTTTATGATGTTGAGGGAGGTTCCTTCTATCCCTAGTTTTTCTGGTGTTTTAAACATGAATGGGTGCTGTATTTTATCATACTTTTTCTGCATCTTTGATATAGTCATGTCATTCTTGTATTTAAGTCTTTTTTTATAGTGAGTCAACTATCGATTTTGGAATGTTGAGCCTACCTTTCATCCCTAGGATGAAACCTATTTGATCATGGTGCACTGTCTTTTTGATGTGTTTTTGTATGAGATTTGTCACTGTTTTATTGAGAATTTTTGCATCTGTGTTCATAAAGGATATTGGTCTAAAGTTTTTTTTCCTTGATGTGTCTTTGTCTGGCTTTGATATCAGGATGATACTGGTTTTATAGAATGAGTTTAGAAGATTTCTCTCCTTTTCTATTTCCTGGAATAATTTGAGGAGGATTGGTTTTAGGTCTGGTAGAACTTGGCTGAGAACCCATCCAGTCCTGTACTTTTCTTTTTTTGGTAGGCTTTGATGGCTTCTTTAATTTCTTTCTCTTTTTTTTGGAGATTTTCTCCTTTTTAAATCAATGATCATCTTATCCAGCTTCAGAAACCTGGACAAAGGGGCTGGGGATGTGCCTCAAGCAGTAGCGCGCTCGCCTGGCATCCTGCGGCCCGGGTTCGATCCTCAGCACCACATACAAACAAAGATGTTGTGTCCGCCGATAACTAAAAAAAAAATAAAATATTAAAAATTAAAAAAAGAAAAAAGAAACCTGGACAAAGAGGAAGCTGAGAGGGGACCTGGTTCAGTGTCAGAGGTCTTTGAGTGATGATTTTGTGTCAGCACATGGAGGCTTCTTAAGTTTGATTACTTGAAATTGAAACGTTTAAAGTTTCTATGCCTTCTAGGTTCAAATTGTATAGGTCATATGACTCCAGGAATTTGTTGATGTCAAGATTTTCTTCTTTATTGGAATATAAATTTCAAAATACTTTCTGATAATCCTCGGTATTTGAGTAGTGTTTGTGGTGATATTTTCTTTTTCATCATGTGTTTTATTAGCTTGAGTTTTTCCCTTTCAATTTTTTAAATTTTTGTATCTCAATTTCATTCTGGTTTTATTTATTTCCTATATTCTACTGCTTTTGGTTTTGATTTGTTCTTCTTGAGATATAACATTAGATTATTTATTTGGTATCTTTCTGTTCTTTTAATATATGAGCTCCATGGTATGAACTGTCCTCTTAGAACTGCCTTCATTGTTTTCAGAGATTTTGATGTTGTATCATTATTCTCATTTACCTCTTAAGTTTTTTTTTTTTTCCACCCTGATTTCTTTTGCTGTCCATTTAAGAGTGTCTTATTTAGTCTCCAGGTTTTGGAGTGGTTTCTGTTTTTTATCTTATGGATTTGTAATTTCATTCCATTATGATCTACTAAAATGCAAGGTATTATCTCTATTTTTTTTATTTGCTAAGACTTCCTTTGTGCTTAATATAAGATCTATTTTAGAAAATGTTTCATGTGCTACTGTGAACAAAGTATATTCATATTCAGTCATTAATGAATGAAATATTCAACAGATATCTGTTAAGTGTGAATTATTAATTGTATTTTTAAATTCCATATCATTTTTACTTAGTTTTTGTTTGAACAGTCTATCCAGTGGTGAAAGAGGTGTCTTAAAGTCACCTGGTATTATTCTATTCTGATCTATTTGATTCTTAATATTGAGAAGGATTTGTTTGATGTACACAGATGCTCCATTGTTTGGGGCATAAATATTTATGATTGTTATTTCTTGTTTTATGATTCCCTGAAACAGTATGAAATGATCTTATTTATTCTGATTAATTTTGGCTTGAAGTCTGCATTATATAATATGAGAATAGTAATCCCTGGTTATTTATGAGATCCATGTGAATGGTATGTTTTTTTTCATACTTTCACTTTCAGCTTGTGGATGTCTTTGCCTATGAGGTGAGTGTTTTGGTAACAGCATATTGTTGGGTCTTGTTTCTTTCTTTTATTTTCATTAATTGATTGATGATGCAAAGGATCTTATTTCTTAGTCCAATCTACCAGTTTATGTCTTTTGATTGATGAGTTTAGGTTATTTATCTTCAGTGTTATTATTCAGAAATGATTTTTATTCCCTGGTATTTTGATTTATTTCTGATTTTTAAATTGAATTTGAGTCTCCTTTTATTGATGATTCTTTGAGTGTAGTTCCTCCCTCTGCTGGTTTTCAGTTTTATCTTTCATTTCTTCTTCATGAAATTCTTCTTACTGTATTGCTCACTAAGTTGCCAGTGGAGTTCAAAAATTCTCAGCTTCCCTTCTTAGCAGTATGAAGTAGAATGGGATGGAAAGTACTGTCAGCTGGAGTTTGGTTTGCATAGACCAAGTTGATGCACTCCCAGGATGGGGCCACTGCAGAGTTCTCACAAAGAAATGTACTTAACTTGAGTCTTGGTACACAGGGTGATAAGAAATGCGGCCTTCCACTAGCCCACCACCTTGCTTCCTTAAATGCCTCTTAGTAGAGAGGTTTATAAAATTTTTCATGCTCATAGAGAATATAATGTTTTGGTATTTTTTTTCTTTCTCAATTCTTTTTACTTTTTAACCCCCCACCACCATTTTATTTATATGTATGTGTGTGTGTGTGTATATATATATATATATATATATATATATTTTTTTTTTTTTTTTTTCTCTCTCTCTTGTAACTTGAATACTTTGTGTTTCTTTTACTTTTTATTTGGTAAAGAAGAAACAATGACTATACTTGTATAACTTTGGCTTCATTTTATATGTGTTGCTATGTAGTGTGATATACTCTTAATTTACCATGATGATTTTTCTTTGACCAATGAGTTACTTAAATAGTAAAGATATTGGTGTCTAGAGACCTGGAATTAAACCCTTTATTATTGTTTACCAGCTGTGTTATCTTGAAATGAAAAATTTCAAAATAACAGTGTTTTTCCATGTTTTAAAATTCATTTTCCTTATCTGAAAAATGGTGATATAATTTCCAGTTCCATAGGTTGATTTATCTGGCATATACTGACTATTATTCTCAGTGTTGGTATTATTCTAAGTTTTGTTTTGTTCTTTTGTTTATATTTTCCAGTTTTATTTCAGTATTCTGGAAACCTTGGCTTGTATTATTTATTGTTTGAATTTATTTAGGCTTTTTTGTGTTCATAAGTGTATTTTTGTTGTTGTTGTTGTTTGTTTTTTTAATTTTTAGTACCAGGGATTGAACACAGGATCTCTTAACCAATGAGCCACATCCCCAGCATTTTTTTGCGTTTTATTTTGAGACAGGCTACACTAAATTTCTGAGGCTGGCTTTGAATTCAAGATCTTCTGCCTTAGCCTCTTGAGCTGCTGGGATTACAGGTGTGTACCACCATACCACTCAGTATGCTTAGTTTTTTACAGTTTTTCTATAGATACTTTAAAAATTGTATCATTATTTTATTGATAATATATGTGGATATATTTTTAAAATATACTTT